ATTCTCGGAACTGGGTTACTGCAGTGTTGCGTTCTTGACTCCGCCTGTCACGATTCTGCCCATCGTCGTGTAGTTCTTGCCGTGCCTGCCCAGCCTTGATGAGTAAGAGAGCGTCTGTCCACCTCTGGAAGTTATGTATTGTCGTCAGCCTGGCCCCTTCTCTCCTTCCGTCCTGACGTAAGGCGGGTGGTATCTTAGGTAAGGTAAAGGGCGCCCTGACATCGGGTTCCTCCCAGATTCCGTCGACCGGGACTGTAAGTGACGGCAAGAACGGCAAGAACTCGCTACCTTAGATGCCCGCTCCTACCTTGCTGTATCCTGCCCTGCATGTTTGCATCTGCGGAACGGAAGATGGAAGGAACGAACAAGACAGGAATATTTTGAATGTGTAGATACTTCGTACTCCGTATAGAAAACTTTGGAGGAAGTCAACGAAATGGAAGTGCCATGCCGATGGTTCCTTCCCGTTCAACACTAGGCCGAGAATGGGCGACCGGCCAAGAAACCCAAGGCAACTTAAGTTAAGGTCGGCTGCCTTAGGTTGCCCTCATCTCACGTCTGGTCTGCGCCTCCGGATGACTGTAGCAGTGCAGAGAGATGGGATGGGATGGGATTCTCCATCTTCCATCACCAATGCCTGCCTTTGCGGCTTTGCCAGAGCACATGCATGATGCGACGGCCAACAGTCCGAAGCCCAGATGACCACGGCAATCTTCGTCATCGTTCTCGTCCCGCATCGGAATAGATTGCTATTGCCAATAGTTGACCCCCTCCCCGATGCTGGAGGATGGACCCCGGAATGCCCAAGCACGCCAACAACAACCTACGAATACGCAGGTACCTTGCCATACCTTACAAACTCTTTCTGGCCAAAGGTAAAGCATCTTGCATCCGTCTCTACACTAGAGGGCGCGGCGCACCTATTCCACCGACCACACCGCACCACCCGACTGATCCTTTGCTGCATGCGAGCCCCTTACAGAATGCCTGGCTGACTTCTTGCATGCATCGCATGGCTTGCATCTCGGTAGCTCGGCTCAGAAAGGGAAGTGGTGGGTAGGGTTACGATTGCGACTGCCAGCGGTACATCGTCCTCGCCCACGTTCATGGGCTCATTGAACGTACCGATCCTTACCACGCCCTTTTTTCCGCTTCAGCTCTTCATCCACTTTCCGAACCGCGATCCCCCACGAACATGACGCCGCTTTGTGGTCTCGCCTTCGCGTCGCCCTTTTTACCGCATACTTTTCTGACTCTCTTACACGTGCCTGGGATTATCCTCTTCGCCCAGTCTTGGACGCTCGAACCCGCCGCAAAACCTTCTTTCACATTCTCGAGTCCGGACCGTCGGTATACACCAGATGACAGCCGGCGCTGTGCCTGTATGCAAGTTGTTGTTGCAAGCCAGGGCCAGCCGTGGCCGATTCTTGGACCTGCTGGAGGGGCCTCTCCCCGGACTCGAGCCGAAAAAGTCTGCTGCGCTTCAGAGAAGGGGCATCATACGATCAACCTCGTTCCTGTGGCAGCGGTGCCCCTGCATCGCCTAGGGAGCCTCCAAGGGCCCTGTATCGCCTCAGCCCAAAGCTTGATGAACCTTCGTCCGCTTGGCGGTTTGGGTATCCGGTCGGCGGAAGCCGTCTTTTTCCAGTAAGGATATGGAGTACGGAGTACGGACGGTATTACTAATTACCTTGTCTTTGCGTTGCACGGCGCATGTAGGGACATTCTCTTCTGTCTACCTACACTATCCGTAGTCCGAGGTGGCTAGCTACTAGGTATACTACACCCCGCACACTGCAACCACCACACTTACAAACTTCCGCAACATGACTTTGTGCTACACCAAAGAGCCGCTTCTTCGCAACGAATCTAAAGCTATCAACCCGTACCCTGGAGCCGAGACTAGCAATCGCTTCCGTCCACCGGGTCCCCCCACTTGTCTCGAGGCCTTACTGCCGCTTGGCTTTTGGGGATTTTTGGAGAAGCCCGTTGAGTCGCGGGTGTTTGCAGGCAACCGGGTAGGGATCCCCGAGGTTGTCACAACTCACACTAAACTTGGTGGGTTTCTGTGCTAAACAGCAGGTCAACCTTGAATGCGCTCCAGGGTTCTCTGTCTCAATTCTCACGAGCCTTCGCTGCTCTTAGTACCCAGTTTCTTGTTCAAGGGACCCGGTCAGCGTTTTCCTTTCGGGGACCCTTCACGAAACCAGCCCTGTCCAAATTACAACACCTGTCCTCCAGCTGAAGGTTAAAGCTGCAAACGTGTCGCGGGTTTGCGCCGGCCTGCCGATTCCGAGCGTCTCCTGAGATCCGCGACAGTCCCTCCACAAGACGTTTGATTTACCTTACGCCACCTCGCGCATTTCGGCTCGACTGACCAGAAACACAAGATCGTGTCCAAGCCTCGCATCAGCTGAGAAAGACGAGCACGATGTCGATACGACAGCGAGCCAGCCAAGGAAATTACCGGCTTCAGCTGACCTCCTGGATAACTGCCGAGAGGAACTTTTTTCACAGCAATCACGAAGCAGAGTCCAGTAACAAAGCAAGAGCCAGAGCCATCTCCGGGCTGCTTCATCTCCACTCACCAAGCCCAATAGTTCGTCCCTACCTTCTTGGAGAGCTCGCCCGATGCAGTGCAGCCTCCAAGTGAGTCGACGGGGGTTGACCCAGAAGTTATTTCGATGTCTTCATGCGCCGCCCTGTGGCTCATTCCACATCTGCTCGCGTGCGGCGTCGACCCTCTCAGATCGCCAATTAAGGCCCCCAAACCAGCCACATCTCCACGACCAAAAATATCCGCTCCTTGCCACACTTTGCTTTTCTCGAACCCTTGTTCGTCCAACGAGGATGCCAGGACGAGCCACCATTCCCGACGGCCTGGGCCAAGAGACGCCCAGTACGGAATGAATCGCCATTGTCAGCCGCACCTAAAGCCCATCCCGACTCCATCTCCAAGGATGCCGCAGGGCGATGACGTTTCGTTCCGTGCTCGCAATCTTAGGACACAGACAAAAACGCCCGAGAGGGACGGAAACGCGTTCGCTCTCCATGGCAATATCTCAACCACGCTGTCGACATATTGGCCATGAACCCCTCCTTATCATATCTCTACTAACATGCCCCAGTTGCAATATCTACAGGGCAACTAGCCGCTCCAAATCGATCAAAGTGGGAGCGTTTCCGTCGCATCGGTGCTGAACATCTAGCTGCCCGTCCAGGGCAACAAACAGGGGGTGCGTTTTCCCTCTCTCCTTCTCCCTTCCCGTTCTTAATTCTTGCCCTGGCGCATTAATGCATGAAATCTCCAATTTGCGCGGACCATCTACCCCGCTGAATCAGCGATTAGAATGCCCACCATCTTCAACGGCCTTCCCGCCGCCTTACCATTTGCAGCCCACGTCGTCCGAAGAACAAGCATCGACGTCGCGCGAAAAAGCCAACGGTTGGAGCCGTAAGCGGAATACGGCATAGTAAAGGCCACCACCACTTCAAAGCAGGCGGCAGGAAGTGGACGACATTGCCTCCACAGCTCCTCCAAGGTGACAGCTTTGTCGTCACAATTTGCAGCTCAACTCCCTTCTTGGACCCTGGGCCCGCGTTCACAAGCAGCCATGGTGTGCCTGCGTACCTGTTTTCTGAGATGATCCTTTTCCTTCTCGGCATCCTCCGCCTGTACCTGCATGCAGTCCGCATGCGCGCAATGGGGGATTTGGGGAGAGAAGGGGGGCTGACACGCAGGGCCCCCTGCCGGCCTTGCTGCATCTCCTAGATGAGTTTACTGCATGGAAGCCTTGGAAGAAGTCCACGGAAATTTCTATTCATGGTAACCACAGCACTTCGTACACTGCCGCCGCTGAAACTATTCCCATCTTGGAGACGCGCATGAACGGCTTGTTATGGGAGGCGCAGCCGCTCTACGTATGTAGTGTACGTACGTTTTGTTCTTATGTGCGACTGATAATCCTCACGTTTATCAAATATGGCCATGGTTTACAGACTAAGGAACGATAACAGCGGCGAGGGAGCTTTTCTGCTCAATCGACGAGCTCCCACATCTGGCGGTTTGGTAAGGTAGTATGCTCATCCTCAACTTCTGGAGGCATTACGGGTGCAATTCCTTGACCATGTTCGTGAGGAATTGACTTTTTCTTACCAAACGATCTAGATGGAGATGGAAGCAAGGATAGAAGAAGTTGCTGTCAGGCAGTTGGCACCACGTTTCTCTTCTCTCTCTCTCACACAGTTTTGATGTTCGCTTGCGATTTCTGTGACACCCGCCGCCGCCGAGCCCACTCAACATGTCAAATGCAAAGTGACACTTGGTTGACAAGTCATGGGTTGCATGATGACAGAAGAGGAAAAAAAAATCTCCCCTGATCTTTTTTCTTTCTCGACTCTTTGAAAAATAATACTCGGACAAAAAAAGTACAGTTTGGTTTCAAAATAAAAGAGCCTGGGCTGTCAAAACCTATCAAACGCCGCTTATTTGCCTTTAATCGCACACATGTTCGTTCCTCCCCCCTTCCCCCCTGCCCACGATTCCATCCTTCCCTCCCACCGCTCGCTCACCCTCTCCCTGGCGTGATGCTCGCGTTTCCCGAAACTGCCCTTCTCCCTGCTCGTCTCTCTTCTCTTCTCTCGTTCTTGAGAATCCACCATCGTAAAACATTCTGCCCGGGAATCGTGGTACTCCCGACCTTAACGTTCCTTCTCGCCATCCAGGGAAAGACATGTCCCGGATACAATGCATTAAGTTTCCCATTGATCAGCCACCCCTCCCCATCTCTAGCCTATTTTTGTGTGTTTCTTTTGAGCGTGTGTGTATGTATACGCGTGCGTGTAATGTCCGTTTTGGGTAGATGAAGGGCTCTCTCTCGGTAAGGCAAAACTCCTCAGCCTCAGCCTCGAAATGCCCATCTTCCCTTGAAACGCACAACAGCGGCCGCGTGGACGAAATCTTGTTCTCCACCACCACCACCGCCGCCTTAAGCACTTCCTTAAGCGAAGTTGTCAGTCCTGTCGACCCAGATATCCTCGAGCTCCGCAAAGCTGTGGAAGTGCACGGGACGGTGCTGGTCGCTGTAGAACGGCAGCGGCGTATCGAGCTTGACGTGCACGGGCTTCTTCTCCATGCCCGCAAAGGCCGAGCCCATGAAGCTGTAGTTCCACATGCCGTTCTCGGGCACGAGGAAGAAGCCGCGGAAGCGCGGGCTCAGCAGGAGCTTGCGCTTCTCGCCCATGGTCGTCGTGAAGCCTTGGGGCTGGTCGCTCTGCGTGTCCCTGTTCTCGGCACCCCACTTGTAGCCTGTGGGGGTGAGGCCCCAGGCCGAGAGGGAGACGGAGCCGGGGGTGAAGGCCACGTTTACGGTGACGGTGTCGTGCTTGTCCCAGGCCGAGCTGTGGGCGTCGAGGAGGCGAGCGTGTTCGGTGACGTCGGCGGCGGACATGTAGGGGAGTTCTGCACCCGAAGCGGTGTGGATTACGCCGAGGGGTTCCATACCCTCGAGGAATTCGTGCTGGGGCAGCTGTTGGGGGAGCTGGACGTTGCGCAGGCCACCGATCTGAGGGATCATGACGATGCACTTGATTTCCTTGACCTGGTCGTTGTCCGGGGCGGAGGATCCGTAGAGATAGCCGGCGACCTGGACGCGGAGGTCGGCGATAGTGATGAAGCGCTTGAGGATGTTGTTAGGCATCACGTATGTGATCTCCTCGAGGTCGTTGTCGACAGATGAGACGTAGATGTTGTTTGCCTTTGTGCGCAGGTTGGACGTGGCGATGGCGCGAGTGCGCCACTCCGTCTTGGAGGCGAATGTCTGCTGCTCGAATTGAGACGTTGTTGTGACGATGATTTCCTCGCCGTGGACGTTTTGTGTCTTTGTCGTCACAGCCGTCAGCTGCTGCTGCTCCTGCTGTTGCTTCTCGATCTCGGCGGCCTGCTGGCGTTGCATGGAGGGCGCGGAGATCTCCATACCCAGAATGATGTCACGGACTTCGCTGCTAGTAAGACTCGAGACGTTGACGTTGTTCTTCTTTCCATAGTCGTTCAGGATAAGATCGCGCAGCTGCGTCTCGACCTTGATCCAGTCCTCGTCGGAGAGCGTCGGCCAGATGTGGTGGTCCTGTGTGATGACCGTCTTATCCGGACGCAGGATGAGCTTGGTCTTGTCCGGGTTGACGTGGAGGGCACGCAGGATCAGTATCAGACGGGAGAAGGCGGTGTATGACGAGATGCTCTTCAGCCACTCGTCGTAGAGGTTGAAGAGTACCATCTGCGGCTCGGTAGCGCGAAGAATCATATCTCCCAGCTTCTCGACCTTCATGGCTGCCTGGAACGGAAGTTGCAGCTCGGAGGCTCTAATGGCAATATTGGGGAAGTCGAGCAAATGGACTTCCAAGGGATCCAATAGACCCTTGCGGGTGACGATGAGCTGCTTCGGCTGCTCTTCCACGGGGAGAGAGCGGATGAGCGCCGCTACTTCTTCGGCTGTCTTCCACTTTGCCAACTGTCCAAGACGCTTCTGACCAGCCCAAACGCTCGTGTGAATAATCTTCAGGAACAGCTGACCGGTTCTGGGGTTGAAGATGAAGATGGCACCGTTGATGGGCTTGGTGGTCAAGTTACCCTCAAAGGTCTTGTGAATCGTTACACGGTAGACGTTGGTATCGTCAATGAAGAGCTGCGTCTGGTTGCTGAAGAGTTCAGAGTAGTTCTGAGAGTTGAGGAACTCCTGGTTGCTCTCAGAGGCGTAAAGCTGCAGACCCTTGCGGATACGCTCTCTCAGGACGTAGAGAGCGGGGTTAGCCTTCATAACCTTGGCCATGGCCTGCTGGATGAGAACCTTCAGACCAGGGAAGTACATGCCGTAAGCAGAGTACAGGTTGTAAGCCAGATCGATACCAATCATGAGACCGGTTGCTGAAGGATAGATACTGGCACTGTCCGTGGTGTAATCAAGGTACTTGGCACGAGTGTATCTCTCAATGTCGTGAGAATCGTAGTCACCATATCTGAGCTGGACATCGATCCAGAACTTGTTCGTAGTGGTGGGCTCGATAACATCCTTGGTGTCAAACAAGGGTGAAGGTCGAGTGACGTTCCACTTGTGACTAGCGAAGAGAAGAATATCGGCGCAAGAACTGTTCATCTTGTAGGACTTTCTGGGATGAATCGTCTCCTTCTGCACCGTCTCAATTCCGAGGGACTCGAGCTCCTGGTCAAAGACCTGACACAAATCCATGACGACCGACTCGTGGATCTTCTGCCACAAATGGGCGCGGAAAATCTGGATGAGCGAGATCTTGAGAGTAGGGATCTTGCCGTGTAAGAAGATACCAGTCAGATCAAGCTGGACTTGGAAACCGACGTAGACGTTGGCTCTGTTGATCGTAGGTGACCACCAAAGGGTAAAGCGTCTGTTGGGGATTTGGTTCAGACCGGATCGTTGAGCGTTTGTCAACTTCTTGAACTTCATGGATTCTGTTGCAAAGTTAGTCAAAATATTTGAGTAGGGATAAACACTTGAACTTACCCTCGAAACCGCTTGCTCTTTCCCAGAACAAGCCTTCCCATGATGGGAAACCCGTTGCTTTGAACAGCGTGTGCTCGAGGATGGTCTCGACACCACCAAGAGCTTGGATAACATCGGTACGGTAAGCGTTGAGGTTCCACAGTTTTCCGTCGTGCCTCTGGCTAGTCCACCAGAAAGGGTTGTTCTTCATGAGCTGATAGATCTTGAACTCTGCGCGAGCGCGGAATCCCTTGTCGAAACTCAAGGTGCTTCTGTCCTTCTGGAAGAGAGTGTTGATGCGCGGCAAGCCACGATCCCAACTATCCTCCAAGTCCTCAAGAGTCAGACGGCGGTTCTGCTGGTTCGCTTCCAATCTCTTCTGTGAGTATTCTGTCCAGACTCGCTGCGAGTCAATGAACTCGGCCTCCCACGGAATAATGTAACGGAAGATATTGGGGATGAGCGTCTCCTCGTCATGCGTCATTCCGGCGCGGTAGTGCGTGACGCCAGTGTCAGTCTGCTTTGACCAACGCTTGTCACTGGCAGGGATCAAGATGTGCGATCCAGAAATCATGCCCAAACCTCCCAGCTCCTTGGGCGTGTAGAACACTGCCGGAGGGAAACGAGAGGGCATCTTGGAGTTCAGTCCGATCTTGACTCTTGTCTGAATCTTGGTCTCACACTTGACAATAGTGTCAAGCAAACTGACGGTAGACACTGCTGCCTCACGATAGTACGTAAACAGCGCGATCAAAGCAGTGTTCCACTTGTTGGCAATCTTGGTGAAGGTTGTCGAACCCGATGACATGAGAATTTGACGGATTCGGTTGTTGAACTTTTGAATGTCTTCTTCCGTGACTTGAAGGAAGGCGTGCGCCGTCCTCTCCTTGCTCGTGTTGTCAACCAAGGACCAGACACTGTCCTTGACTGAGAAATCGTCATTCTGGTTTCTGCACTTGGGCAGAATGCGAACCTCGAAACCGCACATCGAGAACAACAAGTTCGGGTTGTCACGACTGTAGACGCTGGCGAAGCTGTCATCCCACTCGATTGTCGTAACAGAACGAGGCAGACGGTTCTTCAGATCCCAGAAGACGGCTCTGCCCAGGTTGACATCGTGTCTCATGAGGCGCATACGCGAGTCACGAGGCCAGCATTTCTTACTCTTGTATCCAATGACGTTCTCAAAGTTGGGATCAGGCTGCTCAGTGAGGAAACGTTGAATGAGATCTCGGGATTCATCAGCTGTGAACCGCAAGAAGACCCAGATCTTGTCAATGTAACGGGTGTAGAGACGGATGGGGTGTCTTGTCTCAGTCTCCCTGTCGCGGAACTGAAGGAAGTCGTTGGGGCTCTGGGGAGGACCCGCGATCTCACTGGCACGCTGAGGGCCAAGGAGAAGGAGGTCGAGCACGAGACCGTAGTACTGGAAAACGAATGCAGAGAACTGCAATCCACGGATCATACCGTAGCTGTTGACATGGTTCATGTCCTTGTACGTCAACTGGACGTTGTTCTTTGCAGTAATGTAATCCGCAAGGTTGTGATCCATGATCAGCCGGAGCAGAGAGTTGAGCAAAGTCAGCTCGATCTTCTCGTATACCTTGGACAGCTCCGTTTCGATCATGACGTTGCACTCTCCATTCTCAGTCTCCCACACCTTGTCGAGGTTGTTGATACCTTGAGCCCACTTGTAGGTCAGGAGCGGCGGTACTTCGGAGTCTGAAGGCTTGATCCACGCGGGGAACAGGTGGCGCTGGTCGGCCTGGTACCAGAGGTACTGGTCGAGATAAGCATCGCTGATCTTCTCAATGGGTTCAATGTCATAGACAGGGTTGATGGTGCTGTAGTTGTCGTTCATATCGATGCCGACTTCCTTGAAGGCGCGCTGGGTAAGGAGGAAACGCTTGATACGCTCCAGAGTGGTGCCGGGACTGTCATATGCCTGCTCAATCAAAGCCAACTCCTCGCGCTGACTCTGGTTGAGACGGCCCTTGACAGAGTAAGCTTCTCGCAGGCGCTCCAGTGCCAGAATGAGAATCTTTGTGTCGTGCTTGTAGGACACACTGGGGAAAGGGATGGGAGAGAACTTGCGAGACTCCAACCAGTGAACAGTGGTGGTGTAAATCGCGACAGCCTCTTCTGAAGAGACGTAGGGACCGTCCTTCATGTGGTTGTGCTGTCTCTCTTGCTCGGCCTTGAGCCACAATCGGGTGAGACGTCCGACGTTCTTCTTGGCCACCGTCTTGTCAACCGTTGCGCCGCGGCGGATACGTTCTCGGTTGTAGTGAGCGACAGAAATCCACCAGTCGGCCTTCGCCTTTACATAACGCAGGATGATGTTCTCGATGGGTGCCGGCAGACCAGGCACCTTCCAGGGGATGTTACTCTTCCAGCATCTCCATGCCTCAGACAAATGCTGAAGGACAGTGTTGACCTTGTTTTGCTTGATACCCTCGGGCATCATATCCATCAGATCAGCCATCACGGACGCACGTAGCTCGAGATCAAAGTGAGACTCCACACGCTGCTTGGTGACTGTCTTGGCAACACCCTTGCTGTGGCGACCCTCGAACTGACGGGACAACAGGTTTCCGAGCCACCTCTCGAGGAGGGGAATAATACCACGCATGAAAAACAGCCAAACTCTCCAAGCGGGGGCCCAAAAACCGCAACCAGGACCCTTGCCGACGGGAGCGGAGTTGAAGCGGTAGTAAATCAAGTGCTTCAAGTCCTTGCAAGAACGAATTTGATGCATCAGCTTGTACTTGTAGCGGTACATGCCGGTAAGCTGGCCGACGTGGTTGAAAGCATATAGAATGCCATCGGCGAGTTGGAAGGCGTCGATATTGCCAAGGCGGTACTGCACCTGGGCATCTACAATAAGCTTGGTCAAACGCAGAATCTCACGCATGAGATGGAATGCGTTTCCGAAACGGGATTTCTTTCGCTCTTTGGTAGTCAAGGTCTTGACGGGCTTCAAATTAAAGTTGTAATCGAGGTGAAGATAGGTCAGATTCTTGCGGTGAATAAGGAGATTGAGCATGTTGAAACCCTGTCTGCAGACTTGAAGACCAGCTTCAACCCAGTCGATCTCAGTCTGCTGGAAGAATTTTGTCTGCTTCAGGTTGCGCATCAGGTTTTGGTTTTGCTGTGCCTTGGGCTTCTTCTTGTGTAGTTCATTCAAGACGAAGTTCTTGAGCAGCTTCTGGTAAGAGACGCGGACCTTGACAGGTGGCTTGTCGGAAGGAGGATGCTCCAAGTACCATTGCTTGATAAGAGGGACATCCTGAGCCCGCACCATGCGACCTGACCGACGATCGAAGGGGAAAGGAGCCCACCACAACTCAATTGCCGACGCTGTGTCCTCGTTGGTCAGTTCCTCCTCTCCGAGGAAAGGCTCGAATTCGACAGGGAGTTCAAATGCATCATCCTCGGGCTCCTCATTGTTGCCGGGACCAAAGATTTCATCCTCGTGACTGATAGTGAGGTTCTTTGGTGCCACCGCGCGTGAGGAGATGGGGTGGATTCTGCGGTCAAAGTGGAAAGCGGGAAGATCGGGATTCTCTGATCGCTCAAAGACCACCTGGGGGTGAGAGTGCCAGGCTAGATGCACACTTCTTGGAAGGGAGTTGTACAAATAGGGGTAAGCCACCCGGAATTCTGTGCGAATAGCGTTTCTGAAGATGATGCGGTCGATGGCGTTAAACTCTCCGAAGTCCTCATCGTTGGGATCGATATCCTTGTACAGAGGCTCGAACCGTGGCCCGCCGGGGAGGGCAACATTGAGGGCCTTTCCAGTGAGGAAGCTCCTCAAATCGAAGAGGTGGAAGTAGTTCTTATCCACCACGTCAGAGATGAGAGGTCGACTCAATCTGAAAAGCGTTGCCATTTGTTGTAGGTTGAGGTTCCACGACCGGTAGCTGTCTCCGTTGACATGAGGAGTATCGAGTAGTGGCCTGTGATCATAGAACCACTCGAACACGGCGGCATCCTCCTCTTCGTTCAGCTCCATCTGAATAGGCTCCAAGGGCTCAACATCCTCGATGTTCTCGGACCAAGACAGAGGCGGTTCTTCGTCGTCGAAAGGGGGGAATCGCATGCGCTTGAAGAGACGTCTGTCGGCCTTCTCCTTCCTCATAAACGTCCACATCATTGCCCACTGCGCAAAGAAGACAGGCTCAATGACTCTTGGGATCTCATTGACCAACGTCAAGCAGCCGTTGACATGGTACAGAACCTTGACTTTCCTGTCAGACTCCCATGGCATTGGCATATTTTCGAGAAGCTTCATGACAGCATGGGGCATGAACTTCAATGCACCAAGGTAACTACGCTTATCGCTGGTGTACTTCTTTTGCGACACATCACCAATGTCCTTGACGATCTTGCGCAGGTGCTCAGGGGGCATATCTGCCTTCTGTGTCTCCACGAAGCCACCCTTGCGCTTCTCGCCGAATCGGTTGCGCTGATTTCGAAGCCATTCCTTCTTCTTTTGAGCGAACTTGGCGATCTGGGGATCGGTCGGAGGGCGATAGCCAGGCGGCGGGGGAGCTGGTGCGGCTGGTGGTGGAGGGAGGGACGATGATGGAGGAGGAGGTGGCGGCGGAGGGGGACCCCATCCGGGGGGTGGTGGTGGTGGAAAGGACATCTCGACTCGATGGTTGACTCGTCTCGCGTGGGTGGGTTGAAGGAGGTCGTCAAAGTCGAGGAGTCGCAGTCGCGACTTTCAAGACGCGAAAGTCGTAAAGGAAGACGCAGCGCAATTCGACTCGATGCTCAGTATCGGTCTTGAGCTACGCTGAGATGATGAAAACTCGGTCGGTGGCCTCGCGGGAACTCGCGGCGATGAGACCAAGGGCGCAATGTTGTTGGTATTAGGCGTTGGGTGATGAGTTCATCGACCTTGACCTCGCCGCGCCATCGAAATTTTTGGGTAATGCAGCTCTGTCCCAGGACGAGGAGGCCAATTGATTCTGCGCTAGCCTGTTTCGGAGAGGATGGATCACGTGAGGACGTGAGCTCGAGTTTCCTGCGGCGCCACAGATAGTCCGGTGGGCGAGAGCTAGGGAAGGATCCACTTCTGATGGGTGTGGCTGGTGCGTTCAGAGCCTCAGAGGTGAGTCGAACATAGGTAGGCAGGCAGGCAAGGAAGGCACTCTCCCTGGTGAACCAAAGGAAGTGCCTGAAACTTTTCTTAGCGTGGCTTTTCTCGCTGCCACCCGTCAGCTCCACAGAGCCCAGCCAAAAATTTCCACAAGTGCCGCAACACAACACCCCGCTGCCACCTGGACCACGGTTTGCCAGCTGTTGTTCGCTAAACCCTCCTCCCCCACCAAAAATTCCCGTCAAATTCTTGCACAACCCGAATTTGAGGAGCCCCTCTCGACAGGTTGACCGAAGACCCCCCGTGACAAGTCCCGACGACAACACAACTTCCGTCGATCCCGCGCTTCCCAGTCGCATCAGCCAAAACCGTCGCCTGAACGAACCGAAAGCGATCGCCAACATGTCTCGATTTTTCCGCGGCGGAGACGACAGCTCCACCGACTCGTCTTCCGACGAGGAGGAGCTTTACTCCGAGGAGGAGGAAGAGGAGGAGCAGCAAGACCAGGAGGACTCTGATGAGGAGGAGGAGGAGGATGACTCCGACTCTGATTCCGACGACAGTGATGGTGGAAAGAAGGCCGGTGCCTCGCGTTTCCTTCGCGATGCTTCCTCAGAGAGCGAAGACAGCGAAGACGAGGAGCGGGTAAAGGTCAAGAGTGCCAAGGACAAGCGTATCGAGGAGCTCGAGGCGACCATCAAGCTTATCGAGAACGGCCAAAAGATTGGTGACTGGGCTTCTATTTCCACAGGTAAGATACGACGGAATAAATCGACCACGAGATGCTCTAGACACGGGCGCTAACGTCCACGCGCAGAATTCGACAAGCTCAACCGCCAGGTCACAAAACTTCAAGAGGGTGGCAAGACCCCCAAGGTCTACATCAAGGCCGTTGCCGAGCTCGAGGAGTACATGAACGAGGCTATTGCGAAGCAGAAGGTCACTCCCGCCAAGAAGGGAATGAACGCCACCTCTGCCCGTGGATTGAACGCCGTCAAGCAGAAGATCAAGAAGATCGTCAAGGACTACCAGTCCCAGGTCGATGCCTACAAGGCCGACAAGGATGCCTTCATGGAGTCCGAGGAGGAAGAGGAGAAGCCCGCGCCCAAGGCCAAGAAGACTGCCCGTTTCGTCGACACCACCGAGGAGGCTGCAGTGGGCGATGACGATGAGGGTTTTGCTACCGTCGGAAAGGGTGGCCGTACTCTGCAGTTCACCCCTGAGAGCATCTTCAAGCACCTGAGAGCCATCATGGAGACTCGCGGTAAGAAGAACACCGACAAGCAGGAGCAGATCAAGATCATGGAGAAACTCAACGAGATCTCCAACACACCCTACCAGAAGATCCGCGTCCTCCTCACCCTGGTCTCTACCCGCTTCGATCTCGGTTCCGGCGGTGCCTCCTACATGCCTGTTGATCACTGGAAGGCTGCCGAGAAGGAGCTGAACTCTCTTCTCGAGGTCCTCGAGCAGAACAAGGACTACATTGTTGTTGAGAACGCCGAGGAGTGGGATGATGATGAGAAGCCCCCCGCGTTGGAGAAGGGCCAGAAGTACATCAAGGTTCCTGGAAGCATTGTTTCCTACGTCGAGCGCCTCGACGACGAGCTCACTCGTTCCCTGCAAAATATCGATCCCCACACCTCCGAGTACATCGACCGCCTTACCGATGAGGGCGCCCTCTACAACACCATCTTCCGCGGCATGCTCTACTACGAGTACCTCCGCAAGGATGCCGAGCTCGAGATTCCCCAAGAGAGCATCAACCGTGTTGTCACTCGCCGCCTCGAGCACGTCTACTTCAAGCCCGCCCAGGTTGTCAAGATTCTCGAGGACAACTGCTGGAAGAACGTCCCCTCTACCGTCGAGTCCGTCATCACCCCCCGCGACCAGGCTCAGGATGCCAACAACCTCGTCAACGTCCTTTGCAACTACCTCTTCACCAACGCCGAGGGCATTCTCCGCGCTCGTGCTATGCTGTGCCAAGTTTACTTCCTTGCCCTGCACGACGAGTACTACAAGGCTCGTGACATGATGCTCATGTCTCACTTGCAAGAGAATATTCCTAACTTTGACGTCCTCTCTCAAATCCTCTACAACCGCACCCTTGTCCAGGTCGGTCTCTGTGCTTTCCGCCAGGGTCTCGTCTACGACGCCCAGAACACACTGCAGGAGATCTGCGGCAGTGGTCGCCAGAAAGAGCTGCTTGCTCAGGGTGTCATGATCCAGAGATACAGCCAGGTTTCACCCGAGCAGGAGAAGCTCGAGAAGCAGCGCCAGCTGCCCTTCCACATGCACATTAACCTTGAGCTCCTCGAGTGCGTGTACCTTACCTGCAGCATGCTGCTGGAGATCCCCCTCCTGGCGCAGACTGGCTCCTCCCCCGACGTCAAGAAGCGTGTTATTAGCAAGACTTACCGCCGCATGCTCGAGTACCACGAGCGCCAGATCTTCACCGGCCCTCCCGAGAACACAAGAGACCACGTCATGCAGGCCTCCAAGGCCTTGGCTGCTGGCGAGTGGAAGAAGTCCACCACCTTTATCCACAGCATCAAGATCTGGGACCTGATGCCCAACACCGAGGACATCAAGACCATGCTCTCCAAGCAGATCCAGGAGGAGGGTCTGCGGACATACCTCTTCACCTACGCTCCCTTCTACGACACCCTGGCCGTGGAGACGCTGAGCAACATGTTCGAGCTGGACGCCAGCAAGGTCCTCGCGATCGTCAGCAAGATGATCAGCCACGAGGAGCTCGCAGCGTCCCTCGACCAGGTCACATCGACCGTCATCTTCCGTAAGGGCGTCGAGCTCAGCCGTCTGCAGAGCCTCGCCCTTACCCTCTCAGACAAGGCCAGCGCGCTCATCGAGACCAACGAGCGGACACTGGAGCAGCGCACCCAGGGCTCTGCCAACGCGTTCGAGAGACAGGGCGGCCGCGGCGGCCGTGGCGGACGCGGTGGCGCGAGGGGCGGCAACAGAGGAGGCGCGAGGACGGGCGGCAACCCCCAACGGCAGGCTGGTGGCACTCAGTTCACGGGCGGCGCGTTGGGTGCTGCGGTCCGGGGTTGAGAGTGAGAGTGGAAGAAGAAGAATCGAAACGGGGGTGGGTTCCTGGGGTTTTCACGCTTGTATCTTGCATTAGGGTTGGGTTGCTTAATCCAAAATACCGGCCGCGCGGGGTTCCAGAAAGAAAAGAGAGCCTTGGCTGGTTAGGTGTTTGTAGCTTCAGGGAATAGAAGCTGATAGAGTTACGTCACGTCCAACGATGCAGAGTGTGTATGAATGTCACGATTTAGCCGTTACCACGATCGATGGCCTTCCCTGGGCGTATTCCCAATATGTTGCCATCGTATAGTAAGAAGACACTGAGTTTAAGACTTTTTTCCGCGAACAACAGCGTAATTGTGATTCGTGCGGGCGTCCCAAAATGGTTATAGGCTTCTTCTCCTCGTGAAACTTGGAGATGTGCGCATGCTGGATTCCCGCAAACAATTGGGTTTCGGAGAAATCTCCAACGGAACCCAATCCCACGCCCCCTCAGCCTCAGTCAACTCTGACAACACCACATTCCAGAACCCCACGAAACCTGCCTCATGAACCGCCAAACGGGATGCAATCGACGACTTTCGTTCTTGAAACAGACAGCGAGCCTTCTTAGAGCCCTTTCCGAGCGTCAGCGTCAACAACGGGTCTCAGGATCCATCAAATAACCCGCCTTGCTAGCTCAATCGGTAGAGCGTGAGACTCTTAATCTCAAGGTTGCGGGTTCGACCCCCGCGTGAGGCTCAAATCCTCACCGCGATTGGCAAAGCCACTCTCCGGGTTAATCTTTTGCATTCTTTCCAAGAGAGATCGTTCAAGATGCATTGCCCGCATAGTCCAATTTTTGATGGCTCAGATGCTCTTTTCGGCTCGGCGTGGAGGCAGGTAGGCAGAGGTAGCCAGGCGTTTGACTTATTGGCCTTGCTTGGGTGGATCGAAATTGTAGCGCAAGAATTTAGAGTTTGAAGGGTTTGCGTCGCCGCTTGCCGAACGTGGCCTCTTCGGCATCCGTACATATCGACTATCTTTTTCGACGTCATAGGTGCCATGAGACAGTCTCACTTTCCTTTCGGCCACGAGGTTTGTCCTTGAGTGGTATGACATAGATTGTGACGATGACTAGTCACGGACGCGTTCATCCGTACTTATAAAGTTCCTTCCGTCTTTTAACTAATGCCTTCACAATCCCAACTTGAGTCCTCACCAACTCGACTGAATACCATCATCGTGCCTCTCGTATTCTTGCTGTATGAAGTATGGGTCAGGCTAATCTACACCAAGATCCATGAGAGAACGAGGTTGAAGAGAAAGTTGAGTCAATCACGGAGAAGAGAGAGAGAGAGAGAAGAAAAAAGACTTAGCCATTAGATAGTTCGATAAGATAGCGATAACATTGTGCACAAAGGTTCGCAGGACTAGTATACGCTTTCCGAGAGCTGTAGTCCATTGAAGTATCAGATAAATGACTGTATCCCCAGATGCAGTTCTGATTCTCATTACGGTGGGGGTCTTGGCCAAAGTATATACGGAGTAATTCGAGGTCCCGGCACTGCCGGTCAGGGGATCGACTCCCACATCAGCAATTCCCGGGTTCCAAGAGCTGACTTAGTATACTTCACCTCAGTGGAAACCTTCCACAGCACCGCACGCTCCGCGTCTAATAAATCCGAATTTATATAAGGTTCATCATGACTCGCAGTTGGCGCCGACTTACAATTGCAATTCCGGCGGCTCTATCTGCAACAATAGACAGCCGCAAGATGCCATAGACTATTTAAAGGACTGGCTATATCTCGTCGTCTCTATAGAGGAATTCCATTCACACAACCGCAGTTGACACATCGCTTCTAACAGATCGCCTCTAATCGAACCACGATACATCCTACACAATGTTCTCTCACACTCTCGTTTTTTTGGCCGCTACCTTGGCTTCTCTGGCCCAGGGCTTGCCCACCGAGCAGCTCGACGCCCGGCAGACTGTATGTTCGATAAACGAGAAGACTTGGACGGCTACCATGACGGGGACGTGCTCCATTGACGGAGGTCCTGCCATGACGTGTGATCAGAGAACCGATCTCAAGACGCTCGTCGTGAAGAAGAATACGATGTTGAGCGCCGCAGGCCTGGGTAACAACAAATTCGAATGCAAGGGATACCAGTCGGTAAGTACAAGATGTCGCACTTGTTTTACGTCCGTCGGCTTACATAGTTATCCAGTGGCAATGCTGCTCTTCTTAGAGTATGGCACTCAGCGTGGACACGAGCTTGGAGACATTACATTAAAGCTTGGGGTGTTCGTCACTGGCTCCTCTAGATCAAAAGGAACAAAACGATTTTTTGAAGGACTCGACTTCAGTAGATTCGGATGGAAAATTAGAGTATAACAACCAATTCAAGAGAACTATTCATTCTCAGCCTACCTTATCAATCTTCTTGTTTCTTAGAGTCTTGAGGATATTCAACACCTAAGAAAAACAACACGCCGCAGTCTATAACATCCCTAAGCACCAGCTCTATATCCCCCCCCCCCCTAGACAATAATGGAGGTGAATAAGCCTAGCCTAGTTACTAGCGTCGAATAGGTGAGCAAGTTCGGGTTCAGATACAACCCTCACATCAGGGGAGCATATAAGAAAATATGCGGCAGCTTGAGGACAGATAATAGATTTCGAGAAGCTTTTGCAGACATAAATCATTCTCTAGATTTTCACCATGTATTTACTTTCTGAGCTTGCTTTTGTTGGTATCAGATGCAATTAAAACATTGAGAGATTTGGAATCATTTCTTTCTTGCCGCTTGGAGAGAGCGCAGCGAGTTCTCATTACTGTACATTCACAAAGGCACCCACGCAGTTGATACGTTGTCGAGCTTCAGCCCCAGACATCCGAAAACAGCTTGCACAATGGCTCCTACAGGCTCTTGGCGAGAATGTAACCTAACTGTTACGCCAACTGCAGTTGGTCCCTGTAGGCGCGTATGCCAAAGTCGAAGGTAACGAACGCGAACACTGTTCTCTTGAGGGAAAAGCTCCTTGTTAATGATCATAGATAAATCATGAACGATACCGATAAGCCATTCCAAGATTAGAAGGCCCGTGCTCAGCAGAAAGACCTCACTTGACATATGCGAATGGAAGCGGATACCGGTTTTGCGAATGTCTGTAGACAATGTGGACAACCTGTGTCGTAATCCACTCGGCATCCCATTCATGGTACGACGAGCCTGAGCAACTCATCGGGATTAAGTATTGGATGATCGGACTTTAACCCAATATTGAGGGCTTTAGGTGTTCGGACAAGCCCCGTTGGAGAATGAGCTCATGAAGTACTCAGAGTCAAGACAGACTCCACTGGCAGTGAGTAAGGCATACCTATGGACTCATGGAGTACATGACGAAGATTGCTCGACATGGAATGGTGTGTCACGGTGTGTGCGCGCTTTAAAAATTTGATCTGATAACGGCCAAAATCCGGGGCAGCGTGGGCACGTTCCTTTGATTCCTTGGATTCCCTCTGTTTTGGCTCCCACCTGCTTTTCATTCCGAGCTAGAGTTCCGAGCCCTCTCCACCAAAACCCGCCGCGCTTGCCGAATCAAATTCAACCGAGGTCATTGTGGCATCCATTCCAATGCCGAACAACCTGAACTCTCCCACCAGGGAAGCAAAGACAGATGCACTTCTGCAGCGGTGCAGCTCCATGGCGCTGTGGGAGCATCGGCCCGCCGCCGGCAGCAACGCCATTCTTTTATTGCGTCGCACAAACATGAGCCGAAGGGAGCTTTTACCTGCTCTAACGAGACGAGTCCCTTAGGCGATTACCTAGCTACATGACAGTAAACCCTGTGACCATCCCATGGCATCCATCGGCGTGTGCCGTTCGGTAAAAACCAGCACTGCAACGGAGCATCCACCTCGGCGCATGAACATGGCTAATTGGGACAACGGCTTTGGGTTCTTCTTGCAGCTGCCAGCTGGACTTTATTTTAGCGTTCCCTGCCCGTCTGTCTGCTACCTTTTCCTCTTTCCTGAACCTCTTCTGAACTAGAGAGAGAGCGATTTTTGGGGGTGACTTGTATTTTAGTCGGGGTTTTCTTACAACACCAAAGCTCCTCCCACTTCCTAGAGGGTCCCCTTTCCTGCCTGTCCTTCGGTTCTTCACAAGCTTGGCCATTGACGTGACGTCGAACAGAGGAGAAACCCACATACAAGCTTTCCCAACCCGCTTCCTCTCTTCCTCTGTCACTTCTCGCCCTCCGATCTTCGGGATAAAGCTTTACCACCGACACCGAGCTCGAAAACAGTACCCTACCAAGGAGCTTGTCTCGCACAAACCCCTGGTCGTCGTGAGACTGTTTTCGGTTTCTTTTACCGTCCTCTTTACTTTTTCCTCGGACGGAAAGAAACCACCAACAGATCGGGTTCCTCGAGACAACCAAAAAAGCCCACCCAAAAAAAAAAGACGGCCAACACCTCGCCCATCATGTCCACAGAAACAGCCGACCAGGCGCCCGCCGTCTCCGACCTCCCCTCCGGCGACCCCATCCCCGCCGCGCCCCCGCCGCCGACCGCCGCATCACCAGCTCCCATAGCAACCCCGAAAGGCACAGCCAAGAAGCCCACCCTCGCCCAGATCCTCGCCGCGACGCCCTCCAACGTCGACGCCTTCGTCGCCCACCTGAACCGCTGCTTCGCCACCCCGTCCGGCATCGACGCCGTCCTCTGCTGCCTCTGCTACACCTCTCGCTTCTCCGCCTCCGTCATCGACTCCCTCAGCGCCTCCGCCCTCCGCCACTCGGCCCGCAAGCTCGTCGCCCTCGCCTTCTCCCTCCCGCCCGACACGACTATCCTACTGAGCAAAGCGCCGCCCGCGGCGGCGGCCGCGAGCCGCGGCATGCGCGTCGCGGGACACCTGAGGGCGCTGGCGTCGCTTCTGAGCGAGGCGCGCACGATTACGAGGTTGTGGTCGCTGCTGCCCCTGTACCTCTGGCTCCGCCGCCTCATGACGACGCCGGCCATCACGGAGGAGGAAAAAGAAAAAGGTACAAAGGACGCGTCGGAGGCGGCGCTGGATCGGGCCCTCTCGTGGCTGCAGGTCGTGGCGTGTCTGATCCTGCAGTCGCTCGAGAGCTCGTCGTACCTCGCGTCCAAGGGGGTGCTGCCGATGACGCCCAAGCAGCAGGGGACGGCGGCGCGGTGGAGCGTGCGGTTCTGGAGCGTGTTCGTGGGCAGCGAGCTCGGCCGGCTGGCGATTGAGAAGCTGCGGCGGCGGGCGGCGATCCGGCGCGGGGAGCTGGAGGTTGGTAGCGAGGAGTACAAGGAGTGGGCGGATGTCTGGGGCAGGACGCTGGCGAGGCAGGCTTCGTGGTTCCCGCTGACGGTGCACTGGAGTATGGATAAGGGGTTCGTGCCGGAGATGGGGATCGGTTTGTTGGGGAGCATCCCTGGTGTTGTGCAGATGCGGCAGCTGTGGAAGGAGACTGCGTGAGAGGGGAGAGCAGCTTGGGTCGTTGGACGCTGAGAACTCGAATAAGACTGGAGACGGGGAAGAGGTGCATATGAGACGGATAGACGCACCATGCCGCCACTATCGAGGCAGCTTTCTGGCGAAAGCCCATGGTATCAGAGTCTGTTGTGACGCGGGCGATCTGCTCGCTGGTGTTGGGTACGAAATTTCCATTTCATGTTTATGATACAATAGATGTCAATATATTTCTCAAAATATCAGAATCTCAAGCACAAAACGCTATGCCCACCTCCGCCTCTTTTCCCAGTCTAAACGCCAACCCCCCCAAGATCAGACCACACTCATGTGTACACGACGACTTCACATGGGCATCCTCCTCACCTCCTCCATCGTCCAATACTTTCTCATATTCTCCGCCCCCAACGTCTCCACCTCTTGATCGAGGTGCGTCCAGAGCACCTCCCCCCAGCTGTCCATCTTCTCCTTCAGGACGCCGAGCTCGAGCTCCGTCTCGCGGTCGCGGCAGGCGCGCAGGTAGGCCTCGAACTTGTCCATGCCGTCGTGGATCTGCTTGTGCTGGCGGAGGAGCTCCGCGCCGCCGCCGCGGCCGCCGGTGCGGAACTCGGGCATGCGGCGGGCGAGCATGGGGAAGACGTGGGCTTCTTCGATGCCGTGGTGGGCCGTGAGGTGGCGGGTGAACTGCAGGCCGGTGTCGAGGAATTGCTTGAGGGACATGTTTTGGGGGCGGCGGCCTGTCGAGGCTGCTGTGTGGAGGAGGGTCCATTGGTGGCGGAAGTGGTTGTGCTGGGGTTTTGAGGTTAGCTTTGTTGCTTTTCTGTTTTGAGCAGTGTGGGTAGTGTGTTGTCTTGTCTCATTTGCTTTAGAAGTTTGGGAGGATTGAGGGTATTTTGAGATGTGTGAGGTTTTGAAGGGATGAGGGTGCGTGATGAGATGAGATGAGATTTGAGCGATCTGAGGTTCTTACAAAGTAATTCATCTTTTCTGCCATTTGGTTGTAGACTTTGAACTCGGCCGGAGTCAGAGGTGGTAACTCAGGCTTCGCTGGAGTAGCATCCTCCGTTGATGGTGCTGCCGACGGCGGCGTTGCTTGTGGTTGTTCAGTCGCGCTGGCAGACATGGTGTTAAAGGTTCGGATATTCCGAAGTTCAGAAATTGGGTATCGAGTTGTTGCGAATGCGCTGCGCGGTCTTTGTGAGGTAAAGTAATGGGGTCTAGAGATGAGATGAACTGTGCGGCTACTTTGTGACAAGATTCTGCTAGCAGAAACTCCCACTTTCATGGTATTTGGAGAAAGTGCGATTCAAAAGAAGTTTCTTTCTCTGATTTATTTCGTGGAGGGGGAGGGGGAACTGTCTCTGGAGGTTTTATCCTGGGATCATGCGCGCGCGGGAGACCACGCCGCCGCCGCCCCTCCATCCGAGCGATATGCTAAGGCTTTGTAGGAATTGCCCGCGGCGGGTAGGCTAAACTGTTTACAGACGGAGTTGGTAAAGGAGCCCTGCAAGTACACCGCGCGGCTGACGGTGCTTGGATTTGGGGTTTGTTCGATTGGCCACCACCCCCGCCAGATTCTGTGTTGGAGAGACATTGAAGACTGGATGCTAACTGGAAGCCCACTTTGCTCCCAAGAACAGAATCAGATGCCCAAAACTTTAGCTCTTCGCAGAGAAAAGCATCGTGAGTAGCTGAAGTGTTTGAATCAGATGCCTCATTCACCGCAATCGTGACTCTTCGTTTCCTAATGTGATCCAAGGGTCTGAAGAGATTTCATTTCGGCGTTCGCAGATTGGTTGGCGACCCTCCTTACTCAGCTCTTTGAAAGCGGGAAGCGGAAAGCGCGAAGGCGGGCGGCGCTGCGGCAGTCGCATTTTTCCAATCCGCGACTCGCTCTTAGACAATGAGAGGTTCACACATCGCTCTCATTGATTCATCCGACCGCTACCGCGCGCAAGGTTCCATTTGTAATGGAAGACATGGACTCGGCATCCGATCTTGTCCGCGCCCCGCCGCTCCGGGGCGGTACCCATCCGGCATACTTTCTTACATCCGATAGTGGATCCGAGTCTCCGGTCTCTCGACCCGTCCACGGCATCTGCACTCATCACGTGTTCGTTAGGCCATGCGTGCATGCGGGGGCAGATTTGCACTGCACTTTTAACTCACACCAGCTCAACAGTATGCCACCTTAGACTTTATCGAGGCAGATATGTTTCACGGCATTGGACTCCTCGGCTGCTTTCCATTGGTCAGTACCGCTCCCTGAAGCTCGGTCGATTCCGCGGTCCGGCGGTCCCCACCATCACAGGCAGCAGCAGGCAACAGCACGACCAGACATGGGCAAAGGGAGAACTCGACAAGCAACGTGACTTCGTGGGAATCTCGCGTCCTGTGGTCGAGCCTCTGCGACTGTTAGGCGCCATCCTTAAACCATTTGAACTTTACCGTCGAGACGCGTTGCAGCCTAATTGGAACCACAAATATCCCACGGCCGTCTAGCATCGATCCCCATCCTTGCCTCTTAGCGATCCTCAAGGCGGTGCTGTACAAAAGCTCGAGATCTTCCGCACTAATAGATCGAAATCCATCTGCAATCCCATCGTCTCATCATTCGTACCATCGTGGTCAGGAATTGGATCGAGGCTGTTTTCATCAGCTCTTATCATACTCGGTCTCTGACTGCCACAAATGGAACTGGCAGCAGCTAATATGTCGACCAAGCTGACTGTCCGCGAGCGGCTCACACTCTGCAAGTGGGCCGACAGCCTACCTGGCGACATCACTCCAACCCTCGCGCGCGGTGCGGAATGGGTCAAGAGCGAGTTCGGAAAGGATGTCCCTGAATCCGTCATCCGGACCGTCCTTGACCGCGCGGACATGACGGATGACTTTCAAGCCTACGTGAGACTTCCTTATCCAACACTTATCGTAGTAGTATAATGGCTGACCATAAGGAAGAACGATGGTGAGATCGCCCCCCTGGTACGCCCAGGTTTCGGTAAAGAATTCTGGGAGATGCCTGACGACGATGCCGCGTTCCCCAGCGCCGTGCAGGAGTGGAAAGCATCCACCCTGACGTGGGGAGAGATCGCCATCTTGTGGTTCGTTGAGAAGATCACGAACAAGCCCGATTGGCATGTCAAGGTCTTTGATGAGGAGATTGTTGCAAAGTGGAAGCAGGAGGTCATGGCTGTTGACTGGAAGGCTGTGGGTCTCAAGTATGCTTATTTTGACGACGATTTGTTTACCTTTGTAAGTACTAGGCTGCATCTAAGACGGCTTCTCGTTGAACAGCGACCACTAACCTGCAATGCAGGCGCTTGCTGAGCTCCGCGAGAAAGCCAAGCTGTTCGAAGCCACTGGCCTGATCCCCATCTTCGATGCCTCGTCCGCCGTCATCAAGTCTGACAGCGCCATCACCCCGGAAGTAAAAGAGGAGCTCAAACAAGGCGTGGCCGCTCTCGAAAATATACCCGAGAACGAAAAGGACTGGCATCCCGGTAGCGACGGCAAGGTCCTGGACCTCGTGCACCCTTCTCTCTGGCCTCTTGTCTTTGGAAAGTCTCGCATCGTCGCCGATAAGCGCATCCTGCTCAAAGACACGCTGGCGGCCTGCGGCACAGGAGATGTCATCCCCGTTCCCAAGAAGAGGTATCCCGACCACCAATCCTCCGACGACCTGTGGTCCGTCAAGTACCAGTGGCTCCCGTGCGACATTGATATTGAGGAGGGCAAGCCGAAAATCATGAGCTACATCAACAACCTGCACCCCCAGCATCATGCCAGTCTCTACACCACCATCGAAAAGGTGCTCGAGAAGGCTCTCCCCATGTGGGATCTGGTCTACAGGTGGCACGAAGACTACGAGACCCTCCGCATCCCCTGTGAATCGGCCCGGACACAATGCCTAGCGGAGTGCAGCCGGTGGTGCTGTCCCGAAAACCGCCCGGTAGACCCAGACGAGGCCGAACGTGACGACGACGAATTCAACGACGATTACGGCGGGTACAGCGCCGAGGAGCCCAGCCGCGAACTCTGGCGGAGAGACAAGATCTGGTTCGAACGCACCCACCCAATCGAGAGGCCGCCCGTCCCTGCGTACAAGCCCATGGAGCTCCAGCCCAAGGACGTCAACCTGACCTCCGGTTTCTTCAACCACGCCGACCGCATCCAGGTCATTGTGAAGCTCGCCAACATCCACCTCACGCCCGAGAAGCCGACGTACGACGGCGGGTCCTGGCACATCGAGGGCCAGCTGAACGAGCACATCGCCGCCACAGCGCTCTACTACTACGACAACGAGAATATCACCGACAGCCACCTCGCCTTCCGCACCGTTGCCGACAGGGAGCAGCTCATGGGGGAGCTCAACTACGAGCAGGGCGACTTCCACACCATTAACCGGACGCTGGCGATCACCTCCCACGCGGACACGAACCAGCGCCTCGGCAGCGTGCTCACGCGCGAGGACAGGCTTCTCGCGTTCCCCAACGTCTACCAGCACTGCGTTGCGCCGTTTGAGCTCGTCGACAAGACCAAGGCGGGCCACCGCAAGATCATCGCTCTGTTCCTCGTGGACCCGAGGATTCCGATTATCAGTACGGCGAATGTGCCGCCGCAGCAAAGGGGGTGGTGGAAGGAGGGCGCGGCGCCGGGAGACCGGTTGGGGACGTTGCCGCCCGAGGTTACGGATATGGTGTTTGATAATATGGATTTTCCGGTTGGGATCGAGGAGGCCAAGAGGATACGGGCTGATTTGATGGAGGAGAGGACGACGATTGCCGAGCAGGGGATGGGGGTGATGACGACTACGGAGTGGAACTTTTGTGAGCACTGAGTATGGCGGAACTGGCACTGGGCCCCGTTGTGTTGTGTTCGTATCGAAGGAAGGGGACTGCTCAGTCGTCATGGCGGTGAAGGGAGAGGAACTTGGAAGCTGCGTTGAGACGTTTGCTTGACCGGCCTGAAAGTTGACACCAGATATGTCAATAGCTGTGCAAATCGTGTCACCCCAGCCTCAGCTTCTGACTGCGGTTGTGGTCCGATTGGACGATCTGACGGCATCCTGCGCTCCCGCAGTAAGACATGTGGGTTGTGTCTCATGCCGTCTGCCAATACGTTAGCTGCTCGTGAAACATCGAGAGTCGATGTCAGGGCACAAGAGCTTACTCATAAGAGTAGTCTCAAGCAGGAGTACGCGTTGCTTGTTAGAAAACATGGTATCAATCTTGTCCCTTAACAAATTCGCCTCGATACTCACCTCTCACTGGTACACATTCTGTGTCCTTCATATTGGCCACTGAAACCATAAACACAGCACCTCATCGACCTCACTTGATCATGCTTTACTATCTCATCAACAGCTTCAAGTCCAATAAGGACGCCGAACCTAGCCTCGAGCCACCAAACCACCAAGATGCCTCCAACCCTGAAAAATGGCTCGCCCACAAAATCCATCAAGCAACAACCACCACTCCCGCCCTCAACCCAAAGACCACCACCACCACCACAGTCGTCGACGACCTCAGTCCAAGCCTCACCAACCTCCGCACCGTCGTCCAAAACGACCTCCACCTCGCCGTCCTAGCAGACCAAATGTTCACCCAAGCCGCCGCCCTCCAGCCCCGCGACCCGACAGAGCAACCCGCCGTCCAGTCCTTCCGCCAGTTTCTGCAGGTCGTCAACGTCATCATGCGCTCCGGGCCGCAGTTCTTCGACAGGCCGGGAAACGAAGACGCCATGGGGTTCGTAGCGGCGCCGATTAACGCCTTGTTGAATTATCCCATGGGTACGGCGGCGGGGTACGAGTTCTTTCGGAGGTCGGAGGTGAATGAGGCGATGGGAGGAGTGTTGAGGACTTGGGGTAGGTTTCTTGCTTCGGGGGAGTCGAGGGGGTGTTTGAGGGCTTGGGTATCTGCTTCTGGGCAGGTTGTGATGGCGGAGAGGGCGAATGGAAGGTTGGAAGGTGGAGGGTTGGCGTTTAAGGACTTGTTTGTTTGTCCTGATCCTGAGGATGGGGAGACTCTTGGGTATGAATCGTGGGATGCGTTCTTTGTAAGGCGGTTTCGGGAGGGGGTGCGGCCTGTGGAGTTTCCCGATGACGAGGACCACAACGGCGGGGAGAAGCTGTCTGTCACGGGCAGCAGTGGCACTGTTGACATTCAAGTCGACGACAACACCTCGGTCATCGTCAACGCGTGCGAGTCGGCGCCGCTGCAAGTCGTATCCGACGTCGCCCTACGAGCAGACGTCACGCTAAAGGGCCAGCCGTACTCCCTCACCGACATGCTCAACAACAACGCATTCGCGCCGCAGTTTGTCGGCGGGACGATCTACCAGGCCTACCTGAGCGCCTTCAGTTACCACCGCTGGCACGCGCCAGTGGGTGGGCGGATCGTCGAGGTCGAGATGATTCCGGGGACGTACTTCAGCGTCAACAGATACCAGGGTATAGCCGCGTGTGACAACGACAATGAAGACACAGATGGTCCGGATCCGCAGGCGCCGTGTAGGTCGCAGGCGTACACCGCTTCCGTGGCGACGCGGGCGGTGGTGTATATCCAGGCGCGGAATCCGAGGATCGGGTTGATGGCGATTGTGTTTGTGGGTATGACGGAGGTGTCTAGCTGCGAGGTGACTGTACGGGCTGGGGAGGAGGTTGTGAAGGGGCGAGAGATTGGGATGTTTCACTTCGGGGGTAGTTCGCATTGTTTGGTGTTCCGGCCGGGTGTCGAGTTGAGATTTGTTGAGAACCGGTCTCCTGCGGGTCTTGAGGGGAATAATAGGGTGAATAGTGCGCTCGCTGTAGTTGAGTGAGGGCGCAGGCTGGTGCACTTCTATATGCATGATTTCGAGGCACAGACAACTTCATCATGTCTAGTCTCTGGCTGAGTGATACTTCGAAGCATCCCCCGAATGGGAAGTTGAGTATCTGATAGAATGTGCCGAAGAGATGTACTGTCCCAGACATATTTCGCAACCAATGCACATGATCGAAATCTCGTTCTCTGGCTGATGTGTATATCAGCAAGATCAAACAAGGGCGCCGTGTACCTGGGGTTCATCATGTAGGTAGCACGGCAAGGGAAAGGGGGCTTTGAATAGCCACGCAACTTTTCATTGTAGTACTTCAGAGGCCATCTCAATAAACGACAAGATCTCAACGAATATGCAACGTACTCCTCCTTGCCTCGTCCGTGAACCAGAACCCAGCCGGCGATGCCGAGTCTTCGGGTCTCATCAGCATTTCCCCTTCCATCCATCCCTGGACGAAGCAGGTGCCACCAAACCTGTACACAGTCTTCCCATCTACACTGTCGACCTCTTGCAGCAATACTGGCACAGAACACGTCGCTATTACAGCCAAAAGCCATGACTTGTCGAAAGTCTTTTCGGAGATGTAAGAAGGCAAGAGGGCCATGTACCCCTTTTTCGTGATACAGAGCGTCCTTCCTCGAAGCACAGACTGTACAATATCAAACCACGGACGCCCTTCATAGCTGAAAGGCCCCTTGTGCGTCGGAATATGGCGCGACCTTGCAGTAATGCAGTCGTAGTGATGCCACGCGTTCTGCTCCTTGGTCTTATTGAAGCGAGCACCAAGGGCTTCCAGCTTTTCCGGGATCTGTCCGCGGCGATTCCAGGCCGAGGTCACGTCGCCGTGAAACATGGCGATGGCTGCTTGCCGAGGATCATCGTACGGGTTGGCTCCGCGGTCTTTATAGATCTTTGGTATGGCTGCTGTCCACTCTTGGAACTTGTAGAAGGCGTCTGGATCGGGTGGATGGAATACGTGTCCTGAGGGGATTCTCCCTGGGTCTTCGATGATTTCATCAATCTCGTCTATGACAATGCCGCGACAGTTGAGAATGCCCTTGTTGAAGCTAAAGAGTTCTTCAAAGTCGCGAAGCTGTCCAATTCCTCCATCGGCGGAGTAAAGCTCGCCGTCCAAGTCGTCCATCAGCCTCATGGACCTCATGGAGATCCTCTCTCGGCGGACGAGGCAGCTTGTGGCTGCTGGGACGGTCCAGTCGGGACACCACGACGGCACGAGACTGTAGAAGTCATCGACGTTGTGCCATGGCTCAGAGGCGGCGATGATATCGAGACTTCCGTGCTGTCTTGACCAAGCTGTTGCGAAGTCAACAAAGACTTGTTGGCGGCTTTTGTTATAATCCAGCTTGAAGTCGAGCCCCTCCTTATCCTGCGCCAAATTCCACAGAGCAAAGATCTTGTCTCTGCCGTCGGTTGCCTGGAAGTCTCGTGTGAGAATGGCGGCCTCGAGAAAGCCAGGGCTGTCCTTCCGGACGGTGGGTGAGATGAACGGGGAGTAGAGTTCTCCTCCGGCCATCAGGTGCCTAAAGTAGAAAAGTTTACGGATAAAGATGAGCTCGTCGTACGATAGACCGAACTGGTGTAGCTGCGGGTCTGCGCTCATCATCTGCGTCCTGAGGACGGGGTTGAAAGCAATCATGGCTTGCAAGTTGTACGCGGCGGCGTCGAGGGACCCGAAAGCGACGGCTTTGCGGTTGTCGACTATCACTGCGGGATCTGACGAGATGGCGACTTCTTGGACGACCCAGACTCGTCTGAAGTACGGACGGCACATGAACTTGTACAAAGCTGCACAACGCGCAGGATAGAGATCCGGGCCAATCTTGTTCCCCTCTTTCCCGATATTGTACTCACCCTTCTTATTCATCTCAATCTTGAGCTGGTCCATTGGCTTAACAAAGTCCAGCGCCATATCGGTCTCGTCGCTGTGCTCGCCGACGTAGCAGATGACTTGGGATGCGCGGTCATAGATGTCAAACATGCGTGCAACCTGTCTAGTCCGCTCGGCAACGTTTAGTTGGTCGATGCACAAGGCATCGACCCAGATGGGCATTGACACTTCCTTGCTCCGTATGGTACGCAAAGCCTGCTCTAGGTTCCGCCGGACCTGCATCCTATGGCCGTTGACAACGATCTCGACTGTATCCCCGGCGTTGCCCCAGGTATACGACAAAGCGTGGTAGGACACTTCGCACACCATCGGGCAATGGGCCAGATGGGCGATGACTGGTGCCTCGCGGTCCTCTGAAGGTGTCACGACGAGAATACGGATCTCGCCGACGAGCATGTCGAGCGGCACGTAGTCGAGGTTCGTAACGGTCGCATCGTTGGATGGGCTTTTCCCTAGCTTGATTGGATAGATTTTGGGCAAGGTGAACCGGAACGGTGGCTCCGATTTATCTTGAATGTAGTGCCAGGTACGGCAGACTGCAAGAGGCACTCTGCTAAAACCTTTCCTTCTAATAGACCTACGGCTACCGTATATTTTAGGTATTAATAGCGCGAATTTCTCGTATATATAAATAAATATTATAATAAATCCCGTATATTATTATAAGGAATTATTTATAATTATAAGTAATAGGGGTTACGTAAGGGCGGTTATGCTACTTACTAAAAGTGGGGTAGCTAGGGGTATATTCTTTATACTACTTTTTATTACTAATTAATTTCCTTTTTTTTTTAATTAACTTACTATTTTCTAAGTAAGGTAAGTAATCTATTTATATCCCTATAGTTATTTATTAGCGACTATATTTTACTTTATTATATTTTATACCTTTTTCTATTTTACTTTTTTTATTATTACCTAATTATATACGTAATTATAAGTATAATATTCGTAATTTACTTATTATAAATATTAATTAAGTATAATTAGGTAATTTCTTTTTATAATTATTAGTATAATTTTTACTAATTAGTAATTAAGTAATTTTTTACGCAATTACTAATATAATTTTTATTAATTAATAATTATACTTTTTTTTAAGCTAATATACACGTAATTATAAGTATAATTACGCGTACTTACCTATTTATAATTTAATATTTTTTATTTATTTTTTTCTTTAGTATTAATTATTTACGTATATATATTAATAACTTCGTATAAAATACTCCCTTTTTTAATAATTACGTACGCTATATAATACTTATAATAAGTACTTAATACTATATTCCGGACCGTATTAAGGGTATATAACTCCTAACGGCCCCTATATATTAGCCTATAATATACCTTAATAACTTTATATTTTATAAAATAACTTTTTACTTTTTTATTAATATATATACTTCTATATAATAAGTTCTTTATTATACGGATTTTTATATTATTTATAAACTCTTTATCTTCTTTTTTAAAAACTTTTTATAAGATCTATAACCTTAGTATTATATAAGTTAGTATATACTACCTTATATTATTTTATATTATTATATTAACCCGTATAATTTAGCCTTAGTATTAGATTAAGCTTAACTTTAAAATTACTAAGAATAGCCGTTATATACTTAGAGAAATTACTATAACTTATACTTAAGTTACTAATATTATTTAAATAACTATATATAATAATACTAAAACTAATACTAAGTCGTACGCCCGTTATAAGACTAGTAAAAGTATATTTACTAATTACGTTACTTTTATAAATAAGGGCTATTTTAATTATAATTATATATTTAGTATATACGAGTATATACTTATTATACCTCCCGTTACTACTTATATATTATTATATATTATTTTATATTTATTTATAATTTATTAACGGTCCGTATTAGCTTATAATATACTTATTAAGGTCGTAAAGCGTAGTTATAACTATAAAGGTTATAATAAAGTTTATATCGGCGCTCTACTTAAGTTTTTAAGTAATAGCCTTACTAAATACTTCTATATAATAATAAAAGCCTTTAAATAAGTAGCTAAATAAGCTAAAAATAATAAAGAGGGTATATATAATAATATATAAGATTATAAAAAGAGTTATTAACTTATATAAACTCTAAATAAGGAGTAATTAATTCGATATTCTTATATAGTATAATATAAGAGTTTATATAAGTATATATTAAGATATAGTACGGTTAGGCTTAATACTTAAGTAATAAGGCCCTTACGGAGTTATAAAGTACTTATTAACTATAAACTAGAGTATACGCGCTTAGTTTAGCCCGTAAAAAGCCGTAATTAATTATATAAAAGCTCTTCCTAAAGTTTAATATTTTTAATAAAATTATAAAACTTTTATTTATTATATATTATTATTATATACTTTCTATCCTTTTTAGTATTATAGATCCTTATAAGCGTTTATATTTTTATATATATACTTATAAGACTTTATAAATAAAAAGATACCCCTATATATTACTATAATTATATATAAATATTTACCCCTTATTTAAATTTTTTTTCTAATTTTTTATTTTATATATTATTACTTTTTTAAAATAGTATAACTACGTATTAATTTTTTATTATATTAAACGATAATTATTATAAAATTAAAAAGTAATTAGACTTATAATATAATTATTATATATATTTTTATAGTTTCTAATATTAGAATTATAAAGCGAACTTTCGAACGTTAACTTACGAAATAGAACTTATAATAAAAAGAGCGTACGGTTTTTTTTAAGGATTTATTAATTCGTATTTAAAAATTATTTTTTTAATAATACTTAAACAATAAAAATATTCTTTTTTAACTCTAGTTTAAAAGATTTATAATTATAGCTATAGGATTATTAATATTTTATTAATAAAATTAGTTTTAGTAATAATAAATATTAAAATAGCTTATAATTATATAATAACGATTAGAAAAGTTCTTTTTTAGTATACTAAAGGTTACTTACCGTACTAAAGGGTATAATAAAGAGTATTTTTATATATAGGTTCGCTAATAAGCTTATATTATTAACTAAAATAAACTTTATTTTATATATTATAAAACCTTTTTATAATAAGTTTAGGATTAGTTAAGTAAAATAAGGTACTATTATAAAGGGTTTATAACTCCTAAACTAAATTATATTTAGTTTTTAAATACGTATAATAAGCTTTTATTATTTAGATTTAAGATTTATACTAGTATTAATACTTATTTATAGTTTATTATATAGTTCTATATAGGGGTTTTTACTTATACGTCCCGGAATATACTTATATAATATTTTATTATTATTTAATAACGGGGATTTATACTATTATAAGTTCGTTTAGATTAAGAAAAAGAAACCGTTCTTATATTTAGTATTTATTATTACTTTTTATAATATTATTTAATAATAAAAAGTTTAATTATATTTTATAATTATTAGATCTTTAGTAAAAGTATTTATAACGTTAAGATTAAGAGTTAGTAAAATTATTTTTATTAAAATAGATTAGTATATTAGTGGGTAAGTAATATATATTTTAGTATATATAAATATACTTATATTTATAAAAATATTTTTAATTACTTAAGTTCTAAGGGCTATTTTATATAAATATACTCTCTAATTAGATTATACTTCTATTTATATATATACTACTAATTCGTTCTAATTTTATTAATTTTATATAAATTTAGAACTCTTATTAAATTCGTTATTAAAAAGGTCGCTCTTATATTATTTTTAATTAGTTATAATAACTATATTATTAACTTATATTACGAACCGTATAAAACTTTATATAGCTAATTAACTAAGACTAAGTTTAATAATTATTAAACATTATTTAAAATAGTAATAATCTAAATATATATTTTCTTTAAGCTATTTTATAGATTTATACTTTAATTATTAAGGGCTCTTTAATTATATTAGCTAAAAATACGAAGTTTAGTGAGGCTAATTATTTTTATTTTAAAGTATATTAATATTTTTGTATTTATTTAAAGTAGTATATATATAATAAGCTTTAATTAGAAGTTATTTTATTTAGTAAATTATAGGGCGGTATTATATAGGTTAAATAGAAATTAAAAAACTTTAGAATTAATTTTAGAGTATTAAATAGCTTCGTAATTACGAGCGATACTAAGGATAAAGAGGAATTATAAATATAATTATAATTTATTTTAAATTATTTATTAATAAAAATGCTCGCTTTTATCTTTATAATATACTAAGTTATTTATTATTATAAACTTTACTTTTTTATTAAACTATTATAATCTCGTTTTTTTTATCGTTTTTATTTTTTTTAACTTTTATCTCGGCCTTTACCTCTTTTTTAACGATCTTTTTTTTTTACTTAATTAATAATTCCTTTTTAATTTTTATTATTAGTTTAATACTAATACCTTTTAAAAGCCGTATTTTTAGAATATTTTTATACGTCGTTTTGCCCAAAGTTTTAGTTATAATTAGCTTTATATAACCTTTTCTTTTTTTTACTAACTAAGGTTTAATAATTAATAACTTAATTCTAGTTTAAAAAATAATAAAAAGTTAGTAATTATTTCTTTTATATAAGATCGTAGTTTTAAAAAGGAATTTTTTTAAACTTATAGCTTCGTACGCTACTTTATAATACTTTAAAATATCGTAAGGATTTTTTATATTAATTAAAAATACTATCTATTTTATTAAAAAAATTTACTAGTTTATTATAAAATATAAAATAATAAATTATATTATATTTTAATATAAAGTAAATATTAAGAAGCAATTAAACTAAACTTTCTTAATAAACTTTTTAATAATTTAAATATTAGTATAAGTCGTTATTTAAAAACCGTTAAGTTCGTTTTTAAAAAAGGATATATTATATAATATAATAGAGATATTAATTATTAGCAATTACTTTAACTTTTTTTTTATTTACTAAATACTTTATTCCCGCTTTTTTAAGTTTATAAAAAAAGATTTTATTAATATCGAGGCTTATACGTTTATACGTTTTTATTATATAAAAAGAGTAGAGCTTATATAAGTATTATTATTAATCGGTTATTTTAAAATAGTTTTATAAAAATATATTATAAAGTTAATTAATTTAGTAATGTTTTATATAAAAACTAGAAGTTATTATAAATTTATATTATAATATCTATAAGCGAGCTATTAGTTTAATAACTTAAATAAAAAGTGATTTTTATTTATAAAAGGGTAAAAAGTAGTAATTATTTTTATAATAAAGTTATAAAGAAAAGAAAAGTCTTTATATTAAGGTATAATATTATACGATTTTATATACTATTATATAGTTTAGTATATTACGAAATTAAAGTATTTTTTAAATTATAAATCTTTATAATTACTATTTATAAGTTACTATACTAGTCTAGACCCTATCCTAAGTAGTAGGGTAACTATAAAATACGATTTCTGCTTTGACATATGAAAAAAGTGTTTTGGCAGAGTGCCTCTTGTAGTCTGCCGTACCAGGTCTTGTCCTATTTTCGATACTTTGATTGGATCCTCTCTTCCACTATGCCCCTCTCCAGCAGCTCGGTGACGACCTCGGTCATGCTCACGACCTGAGTTGCCCTTGCGTACATTGAGTCGAGGAAGTCACGGGTCCAGTACTCCTTCTGATCTTCTGCCGAGGAGAATTCTTCGAGGCAGATGTGCCGAACCCATAATGTCACGGGCAGGCGGTGACCGCGAAAGTATCTGAGAAAGACCTCCAACGCGACTGGGACGACGAGTCCCTTGCCATCGATCTCGATGACATCCCTCAGCAGCCGATAGCCTCTACTGTCTCTGATAGCGATGAACGGCCCGGCTTTGGCGAGCGGTCGTACTTCTATGCTGCATCTTACGTGGTTCTGTGGATCGCTCTTGTCGCCGGGACACGGATGGAGGATGAGAAAGCGCTGCTCTTGTGCATCTCGGTCGATGGGCGAGTATTCGTATTCCGGTATGTCTAGTTCCCAGCGATTTTCCAGCTCCCTGCGCAATGAGTTCCCAGGGTATGTCATGGCAATTTGGACGGTCGATCAATAAAATGTCAAATACTCCGTAATACCATGCCCTATGCACCGAGACTGGACGCGATTCCTAGCCCACGTATGTCAAACATTGAGAGTGTCGCGGTGGGTTTCAGTTAAGACCTGGCATTTCATCTTTTAGGCATCAGCATTCGCCTGATTTAGTTCCATAACTGAAGGAAGTGGCAACTTCTATTCGTAGAAATCAAATGGCTATGCATAAGCGCTATTACTGCATAATATTTCGAATCCATCCAATGAGCCGTCATGCAGAATATTGTACGCATTGCCAATTGAAAGCATTCGACACGAAACATAAAATCTACATTCAAACAGTAGCCTAAACTGGAACAGTTTATCCCAGTACACGGTGCGCAATTATACAGATTGCCGCATGCTTCGGAAATTCGAAGTCTGGCACTCAGAGTAACAAGACTGTGTGATGATACTTCTTGCTTATTAACACCGCACACTTAGTTCGGATCCAGAATGGAGCACCATGACATTAGAGCTGTTGAATAGTGACTGGCATGGTTTGTGAGCTTCTAGAAAGTGCGAGGAAATCAGCTATGTTAGCATCGAGAAGTTGAATCTACAAACTGGGTTGAGGTTCGGGCTTCCGAAATGAAGGGTCAAATTGTTGGGCAGCAGGACCACACATATCACTCTGCGGAGATTGCGCCAAGCAAGAGTTGAGTTCCTGATGTCTATGGAAACTCCGAGTGTGCCTTGAATCCTGGATGTATGTATAAGTCATGTAATTACTAAGGTAATCGGTGGTTCGCTTGAAAGCACTAGAGTTGTAGTTTGCTTGAACTTACTCAATCTTATCGCTTCAATATCAAATGGTCAGTCAATTTCCCCAGTCAATTTCTCCAAGTGTAAGGGCGTTTACGTTAATTATGAATATGAGAATCCTAGCTTTTGTCGGCATTTTTACGTCGTAAGGTACTCCCGGGTCCCGGCTCCAAGTTTTGTGAGATGCGCTTCAAGCCCCAGATAATAGACATTCTAGTAAGGTTCGAGGCTCGATAACTAATTTGACCTGGGCTGCAGCTATCGCCGCAACATTTCCCAATCTAGCGAACTTTTTCCCGTCATTGTGCTGGTAGTATTACTGACGGATACATGAATCGCCGAAAACATCACTAATTTTCGGATATCTCAATTTTGAAAACAATGGAGCCTGGTTGACATTTTTGTGTTTTTATTTATTTTTCTAGTTGAGGCCTAGATTTCTGAGCTTTGCTATTGCACATCCACTACTCATCAAAGATGGTGGCAACAACAGCACCAGTGAGAGTGACCTGACCAACCTTGCCACCCTCAGCCTCGGTGATGATCTTACCCGAGACGAGGTCGCGCTTCCAGATGACAACGGTGCGGTTGTTCTGGTGACCGACGGCGATGAGGTCGCCGGCCTTGTTGATGGAGAATTGGCGGGGAGACCAGCCGCCGGAGGGGGCGAGCTGCACCAACTCGAGGGAGCCGTCGTCCTTGATGGCGAAGGTGGACATCGTGTCTGAGGGGCCGGAGCCGAGGACGGGGGAGTCGCGGAACGAGACATCGCGGTTCGAGACGATGATGAACTTTTGGTCGGGCTGGGTGAATTGTCAGTCAAAGAGTTCCACAACCACGATCATTACCAATCCGGATGTAGAATGCGCCCGCTGGCCCTAATTTGGGAGATGCATAAGGCCGTGGGGGCCGACCCAGGATTGAAATAAAGCCTAGAAAAAGATCTGCGACAGTGCAGGGGGTGGGTTTTTCGCAAAAACGAAATAGGAAATGGAGACCCAGAACTGATGAAAAAGAACTCAAACTCACAGTGATGGCAATCTCGCTTGTCGGGGCCTTGGTGGCAGGGTAGTCGGCGTTGACGGAGGGGATGGACGAGATCTTAGTGAAGGCGAGGCCGGTCTCCTTGTACTCGACCTTGTACGAGTAGATGTTTTGGTCGAGCTCGCCATTGAAGAAGAAGACGACGTCGCCGTTGGCCATGGTCTTGAAGACGCCGTGGCGGGGCCCGACGCCGGGGCCGGTGACGAGGCCGTCGACTTCCTTGATCGGGGCGACGCTGTTCGGGTCCTTGGTGTAGACGCGGACCCGGTCACCACCGAGGTCGGCGAGGAGAACATACTGGTTCTTGGGGTCGATAATAACGTGGTGAAGGTAGCTGAGGTCCTGACGGGCAGTCACCGGGCCGGGCTTCTCGAGGGTTGGGTAGAACTCCTGGAGCGGCGCGGTGCCGGGGAGAGCTCCTTTATCGCCCAGGGCAATGACGGAAACTGCGCTCTTGTTGCTAGTTGAGACATCGTGTTAGCTTGAAACTTAACTTCTGTTTAAAGTCCTTAAGGTATAGATTAAGTTGCAGGTCATAGTCCGAAGAACCGGTGGGAGTCAAAGTCCGAATAGCCGGTGGGAGGCCTTGCGGAAGTTTTCCCAGCGACAACTATCCCACCGGAAGCGCCAAAACAAACAACACACGGACACAACAGCAGTGCTTATTTCGACGTTGGCAATTTGGGACTTACTATGAAGCAGTAACATAACCGCGAGCACCAGACTCGGTGGTGACAATCTCACCAGCGACACCGCTGGCGGGCGCCGGGATGCGAGCGATGCGGGTCAGGGCGCCTCCATCCCCGATAGAGAAGGAGTTTAGTGAGCCGTTGGGAACCGAGTTGGAGCCCCGGTCGAGGCAGTAGAGGATACGGTTGGCCGAGTCCAGGGTGAGCCAGGCTGGGTTCACCTCGCAGTCTGCCGACTTGGAGGCGACGGATAAGCTCGCGTTGGCGCCGGTGGTGAGGGAAAGGGTTGTGACATTTCCGCCCGAATCAGCCGCGTAAAGGGTGACGGCGTTGCAGGAGGCCGCTAGAAAGGCGGAACCTGCCAAGAGGCTCTTCATGGGTGAGGTGCGCATGGCGGATGGATTAGAAGCCGATCGTGTAAGCGGAAAAAGGGTCGATATGAGAGAAAAGAATGTGCTCAAGTGAGTGAATGGGAAAGGATAAGCAAAATGAGTGGATTGTGGTGTAATGAGCGAATGTGGTGAGGTAGAAAACAGGCAGGTCAATCGCAACCGAGGGGTGGGTAAACGGCGATTTAACTGCAAACGAGGTTGGCGATGTGAAGGATGAGAATGAGTGGATTCGGACTCTTTTAGTCCAAGTCTTTTGCTGAAAAGAGCGATAAGAATTTCTACTTCCTAGTCTGCCAAGTTTTCGCAATAGTTCTCCCTCATCTAGGATCGTGAACCTGAGGGGATTCGAAACCTGTTAATATACAAACCAAAAAGGTAATGAGTGCAATCGGATGGCCCCGAGCTTCAGAGTCGCAGTTGCAAAGCCCGACTTCCCAACTGGAACCTGCCAAGACTCTTCTTCCCAAGGTGCCGGTATTCACGGAGATTTCAGGGGCCCTCCAGTTTTTGCCTGTTGTTCCTCAGTTCTTCTGACTCGCTTTTCGAAGGTTGTTTAACAAGACGCCTCATCGCCAAGACCAAGCAGTGTGCTGATTGCTATAACGCTCAAGAGCTAAACTCCGCGTGTACTCCCCAAGGTGGTAAGGGTCAAAACTCCGCGAGTGTGTGGGGGCCAACAGTTGGCGTTAACCATTCCCCTCGGTGTCGACTATTGCCGCTGCTACACGCTACGCCTGCTGTGCCTGGTCTGAAGAATATCTGGCGCCTTTTTGCGCCCCAATGACAAAACCTTAAAAAACGGGCGCCGGGGTGGTCGGTAGTGCCGAAAAGGGGGACGGGCTCCGGTTCCAGAATGACGGCGACATAGAGAAGACGCTTGGGAGCTAGGTTTGGCCTGCTTCATGGGGTGAATCACCCGGACAAGGTTCTCTGCTTTGAGTAGGTCAAGAGGCTGAGCGGTCAGCGCCAAGACCTAATACAGAACCAGATTGATTGATATGATTAAACAAGGCGTGATTGATACTTCTCCCTGGCTCTGGAGTCTCAATGAATGGGTCGTGGAGTCGTTGACAGTGGAACAACGCTAAGTCAGAGAGGGGACAGACGCCAAGATCGGGTAGCACCGTGGCCCTGGCTTAGAGAGATATTTGACTTTGAGACGGATATCGAGTGTAAGGCGACGGCCGAGGATCCGAGACCGATTGCCATTTACCAAGGCGTCTCTACGAGAATATCCGTACGAGTCTTTAGAGGAGACCCTCAATGGGATGGTCCCATATATCTCAAGCTAAGTATAAGACGAACCCGTGTACAGGCTCGGATACTGATTACAGACTCCCGTCTCTAAGCCTCACAGCTCAAGTCTTCCAGATCTTCATCTTTTGATCCTTACATTCGTTTCTTTATTACCAGGCTGTATAGACCTGTACATACTTCAGCTATGGATTCCACATTCTCTCTTAGACGCTTAGCCGTCGCTACACTCCTTTGTGCTTCTCCCGCTCTCGTCAGCGCGCAGGCCGAGAACAAGGCCGCCGCTCTTCAGTCTTGCTTGACGACCGCCGGTGTCCGCAACGTCATCAGCACCGATGCCACCTGGGCAGATGAGACCACCGGCTTCCAGAAGCGTATCAAGGTCGACCCGGCCGCCATCTCCTTCCCCGAGAACAAGGACCAAGTCGCCCTGTCTCTTGACTGCGCCCGGAATGCTTCCACTTCAGCGTCTCCCCTCGGCGCCGCCCACTCCTTCCAGGCCTACGGCTTCGGAAACCCAGGCAGTCTGGTGATTAGCATGGCTGCTTTCAACTCCGTCTCTTTTGACGCTGCCACCAACCGTCTCACCTACGGCGGTGGTACCCACGTTGGCCCCGTCCTCAAGTACCTCTGGGACAACCACGGCCGTCACTTCCCCCACGTCCGAGGTGCTCACGTCGGTCTCGCTGGCTCCAGCATCGGTGGCGGATACGGTTCTTCTTCCCGCCACCTTGGTACTCCCATGGACAACCTCGAGTCTGTCGAGTACATGCTGTACAACGGCACCATCGTCAACGCCGCTAAGGGCTCTGACCTCTTCTGGGCTGCTCAGGGTGCCGGTGCCTCCTACGGTGTCCTTCTCTCTGTGACCACCAACACCCACAAGCCCCTTTTTGAGACCGCCGTCAACTTCACCATTAACGGCGGCCAACTCGACTCCACGGCCGCTGCCAAGGCCGTCATCGCCATTCAGGACTTCTCCCTCTCCAAGGACTGCCCTGATGAGCTCGCTCTCCGCTGGTCCCTGAGCGGCCCCCCCTACACCGGCACTGGCTACTTCTACGGCAATCCTGCCGACTTTGACACCGTCATCGCGCCTCTTGTCACCGCTCTTAAGGCCATCGGCAGCAACGCCACCGTCGCGAAGACCGAGCTCCCCTTCTGGGACATGGAGGTCGCCGTCGCCGGCGCAGGCATGAACCAGCCCAACGGCGGTACCCTCGGTGGCCGCTCTTTCTACACCCAGGCCCTGACCATCACCACCGACCACCCCTTGACCGAGGCTCAGGCCAAGACCCTCTACGAGAGCACCACCATCGCCTTCAACCGCACCGACCTCCGCAAGTCCGGCTTCCTCGACCTCTGGGGCGGCGTCTCTCGCGACATCGCCGATGCCGACACCGCCTACGCCCACGGCAAGAACCTTTGGCTCATCCGCTGGGAGGCCAACTCCGTTGATGCTACCTCCTACCCTGCTGACGGCACCACCTACATGAAGGGACTCATCAAGCCCTTCGAGGATGCTCTCGTTGCCGGAGGCGCTCCCCTCCGTGGCTTCGTCAACTATGCCGATACCGAGCTCTCCGAGGCCGAGTGGAGCTCCCGTCTCTACGGCTCCAACTTTGACCGTCTCAAGCAGCTCAAGACTGTCTACGACCCTGAGGGTGTCTTTGTCAACCACAAGCAGGCTATCCCCCTTCCTTGAGCGGTGGTAGTGGACTTTTCATGATTCTTGGATATACCTTGGGAACAGCAGGGGAAAAAGTGACAGAATACCAATCATTTCGAACAAATCACCCAAGCTTTGATTTCACTTCTCCATCTTCTTCTAGAACCAGTGCCGACAATCGCTTCCAGTGATGTGTTTTCAATTGTTAGCTTGCGATTCCCACGTCTCGACTGAATCGACTGAAACATCGTTCGAAGTCTCTACCTTCGTTTCTATTATTCGCATACTTGTTAGCGATGAGGTTTCAAAAACTCTCCGTCCAAGGTGTCCATGCTCTCCAGTATGAGTCGCGTTCACGCGTAGCTTGCTGTGTGCGGAGAAGAGCATGATGCTTCTCCAAGTTCTCCCCTCAATTCCCGCGGGGTAAAATCCACAGTCCACAAAAACACACAAGTGGAGTTCCTTCGGTCGGCATTCTCGCGAATCACTCAGTTCCGGCTAAATGCAACTTGTGGAGGCGTGGGGTCAAATCATCTCAAAGGCTCAACTCACTCTGGCTAAGTTGGCTTTGGAGAGCCATCTTTGATAAATATCAACCTCAGTCTTTGTTTCTCAAAGTTGACTGTTGGTTTGTGCCCGGTTTCTTGCATTGATCACCAACACCAGTTGTCCTTCAAACTCCGAGTTCACAATGCCTCAAGTTAGGAATCCAATTCTTCCCGGGTTCAACCCGGATCCTTCGATATTGAGAGTCGGAGATGATTACTACATCGCGACATCAACCTTTGAATGGTTTCCCGGCGTCCAAATTCATCACTCCAAAGACCTGGCAAACTGGGAGCTCGTCACAAGACCATTGAGTCGCAAGAGTCAGCTTGACATGCGCGGTGACCCAGATAGCTGTGGTGTCTGGGCCCCCTGCCTCTCCCACGACGGCGAAAAGTTCTGGCTCGTCTTCACCGATGTCAAGCGTAAAGACGGATCCTTCAAGGACACCCACAACTACATTGTCAGCGCGCCAGCCATTGAAGGGCCTTGGTCCGACCCGTTCTACATCAACTCGTCGGGCTTCGACCCATCGCTCTTCCACGATGACGACGGCCGCAAGTGGTTCGTCAATATGATGTGGGACCATCGCCGCCGCTTCCACGCCTTCACGGGCATCGTTCTCCAGGAGTTCGACCCGAAAGCCGGAAAGCTCGTCGGCCCAAAGAAGAACATTTTCCGCGGCACCGAGCTGGCTCTCGTAGAGGGCCCGCATCTATATAAACGCAACGGATGGTATTACCTCCTAACCGCCGAGGGTGGCACGGCGTACGAGCACGCCTGCACCCTCGCTCGTTCCCGCGATCTCTGGGGTCCGTATGAGCTACACCCGCAAAAGTACGTCATAACGTCCAAAGATGCGCCCGACGCGGCGCTCCAGCGCGCTGGCCACGGTGATATTGTAGACACGCCCGACGGAAAGACCTACATGGTTCACCTGACGGGTCGTCCCACGACGGAGAAGAGGCGGTGCGTTCTTGGACGCGAAACCGCGATCCAGGAGGCGTACTGGGGTGACGATGACTGGCTCTACGTCAAGAACGGCCCCGTACCATCTCTGTACGTGGAGGTACCTGGTACCAGAGATGATACTTCGTACTGGGCGGAGAAGAAATACTCCTTTGAGAACGGCCTGCCCAAAGACTTCCAGTGGCTGCGGACGCCGGAACCCGAGCGCATCTTCTCAACCGAGGACGGGAAGCTCACGCTCATCGGGAGGGAGTCGATCGGATCTTGGTTCGAGCAGGCACTGGTCGCTCGCAGGCAGACACACTTCTCCTACGACGCTGAGACCACCGTCGACTTTGCGCCCACCGATGAGCGCGAGTTCGCAGGGTTGACGGCGTACTACTGCCGCTACAACTTCTTTTACCTGACCATCACTGCGCACGAGGACGGGAAGCGCGAGCTGTTGATTCAGAGCTCTGAGGCTTCGTGGCCCGATAGCGACCTCACGATGCCGTTTCCCGAGGCGGTTGCGCTGCCTGATACGGGCAAGGTCAAGCTTGCGTTAACGATTCGCGGGCCGAAGCTTCAGTTCTACTATGCTCTCGAGGGCGAGGAACTCAAGGCTATTGGGCCGGTATACGATGCTTCCATCATCTCGGATGAATGTGGTGGGCACCAGGCGCATGGAAGCTTTACCGGTGCATTTGTTGGTGTTGCTGCGTCCGATTTGAATGGGACCGCGAGACGGGCGGCTTTTGATTATTTTACGTACCGTCCTATTCATGATGAGACCGACCGTTATGATATTCAATGATGAGGTCCCACCGTCTCCGTCAGAACGTAGGAGCTGGACTGATAATGTATGTTAAAATTTGACAGGGCGGGGAAGAATCATAGGTTTCTGTAGCGAGATTGGCCACTAAGAAGCATGTATCTCGGCTTTGAACCAACAAGACATAGTAGCGCACTAGAAGAGACTCGTAGTACCGTTCAGCCTCATAGAGTAGCCGTTTCAAGTCTTCGAGCCAACGAGCTTCTGCTCATAAGGTTGAATTGTGTTGCCTCAACACACATTTGATATTGTTCGTGAAAAGCTTCAGATGAAGGGAATTCTGTCGCTGGAGACAATGTGATTGACCAGCAGCCAGGCCATTGATGTCAAGTTACTAATGGGATCGTGGTTTGAGTACGGGGCTTGGGATCTGACCCTTCAATAGCGCTTCAGGAACCCCCTCCTTCCATGTTTCAAAATACCCAGGCTGAGTTCTGGGACGCAACTGAAAAAACTCTTACATCGAAGAGATCAGTCTATTCATGACGCTGGAAGATCCTTTCGCGAGCGGGGCGACTCCAGCATCATGCATGCTGCCAAGAGCGCCTACATGAACAGGGATCGTGTGCAGTGTATTTGTTGTCGCTTACACATTACATCAGACATGCGTTTAGCCGTACTTATGTAAATAGACAGGATAATTAGCCCTATCTATATCACCAAGCGCTTTTAAAAGAACAAGCATCGCCTCCCTCTTTCCTGTTTGACAGCAAACCTCATCAACATTCGTCCAACGCCACAATTTCGCCTAGCCTTTACAAGAAAAAATCGAAGTAACTTAAGAGTTTTCAGCCGCATCTCACAGCATGGAAGAAGATTATTTTGCCGCGCGCAATATCGCAGACCTTCCTAGGCACCTCTCCTCCTGGAAACGTGACGCATTCGAGAGGACCTGCGCGAACATGAGAGATCTCAACTATCACACTTGGGGATTCGTCATTTATCGTTGTACCTACGATGATGAAGATCTGTGGGTTCGCTACCTCGCGCAGCTCAAGGACTTTGCACATGGGTATCTCGTCAAGACTCGCCGAGCTGAGCTGTTAGAACAGTACCTCGATTTTCATGTTATTGAAGATCGGGCCACCCTTGAGAATGCCTCGAGACAGGACACTAGGCATCATTTCAATCAATGGACTTCGAACCAGAACGTTCCCGCCGGCGACGGCTTCTTCTGGAGCAAAACCGGGGCAGAGTTACCCCGTTTCCGCTTCTTTTTATACGTCGACAAGCAATGTCTCGCCACTGTTGTTCAATTCCAAAACGCAGACAATGGCCATCCTTACTTCCGACCGTTACTTCCCCCGATGGTTGTCACTGTTGTTGATGGTTCCTGGACGCCAGACACCGTGCAGAGCTACGAGCCTCAGAATGAAGACGGATATCCTGAGCTTGATGGCAGTTCGAAGAGATACGTCGGCTTCGAGTACCATAATGCATATTACGCCACTGCTTTGTACGAGACCCTTCATGGAAATGGGCTTGTTGACTACGGATCTTACACGCGGCCGCCGGCGATAGGGCCCGATGCGGTAAATACAATGTCTTGATGAATACTGCCCTAGAATTCCAAGGGAATCGAGATACAAAATGGTAGCAATGTTACATATTCGAGAGGGATTATTTTGCCATCTTGCCGCACCCTTCTACTTCAAAATTCTTGAAACCCACCGGCGCACATTGAACCAAGTATTGTTCATGGATCCGGCAGTGTTCTGATGTCTGAAATCCGAGCCCTGAGTCGTGCCACCCTAGCTCGCATCGAGGCCTCATTCGGCGGCGAGAACCCCGCCAACGCGAAGTCATCGAGGTCAGCCTCGATTGCGTCTAGCATATCAGTAACCCATAAAGTGGTCCTCCGCGCTGCTTCTGAGTACCAAAGTGAATCAAATTCAATCAAGATCAATACCAGATTCGCAAGTTGGGGGACAGTACTGGCTATGTAATTGACTGCGATTCGTATGTTCCTCCGGTTCTTCTGGACGACTGGGAGGCCCAAGGGATGGTGCATATAGTTCCACACCGCAATACCCTTTTCGCACCGAGTTCACATTAGAACCTGGACTTTCGTGCTAGTGGAGATCATCGATGTTACTCACCTGGGCAATATTATTGAAAAGTTCCTCCTCCGAGGTGGTGTTTCCCGTCACTGCTCGCGCACGTATGGCATCCATTTTCCCGATTGCTGTGGGATCTGCTCCATTGAAAATGGACCCCTTTGCAATATTCAACTTGCGCTCACAGAGCAGTAAAGGTTCTCTGTTTCCCTTGGAGCCAAACTGATCCATCAGATAGTCATTTGGTGTGCGGATACAGCGACTAGCTCCCGACGCCGGAAAAGTGCCCTTCGGAAATTTGGCGTTCCAGAACCTACTCAAAATACGAGCATCTATGCGTCCGCTGAGGCTGGTTGCACCATCTGGGCGTATGCCATTCGTCACCATCTGCAAGAAGTCTCTGATCCATTGTGCCTACGGCTCACTTGTCAGCAGAGATTGCATTCACAAAGACAACAACAACTCACATCTGGATTATGTTCTGTGTCGAGTCTCGCCGAGATCTGGGTCGGAGTAAGTGTTTTGCGGTTGTAAACCATGATATCGACACTTCCACAACCTGGAACCTGCCTGCACGGCGTCAGAGGCCTAATCATCACGTATCAGGGTTTCGTACTCACTCGAAGACATTGTCTGACGGAAGAGGGTTTCTCGGCTTATCTTCGTGGAGTTTGCCTGACCCAGGATATTCTCTCGCGTAGACAATCATCACTATCAAGGCCTGAGCAAGATCGTATAACGCTAGTTCAAACCTTTTCCTTTCGCCTCTTTTCTCGAGAAGAGACTTCTCGTCCATGATCAATGGGTTCAGCGAGCTGAAAGGCGAAAAACCCTGCACATCTCGACGAAGTTCGTCGTGATCATCACAGTCTTCTTCATCAGATATGTCCAGCGAACCGAATTCATCTGGGGCACAGATGCCTTCTTGAAGGGTACAATGTGAAACAGGGCAAACTCCGTTTCCAAAGACAGCCTGTTCAGGTGTACAGCAAAGAGACTTCTTACGCCACCCTAGATTTCACAAATGTATTAGCTTGGCAACGAAGCAGAAACTTGTTTGTAACCCACAGCTGCAGAGGACTCCATTTCCACCCCCTTGATCCAAGAGTAAAGTGACCTCCTTGTTATTGCAAGTGTTGTCAGCACAGTCGCCTTGTCCAACCCAATGGCAATTTGAAAATGGAGCTGGGTTGTTTTTGCAGCAGTAGCGATTGGTTAAGGTACCAAGGCCGCATTTCCCCTCAAGATCCTCCGCTTGAGCGACTTGTTGTTCTTCTTCGGTGCATTTCTCAGAGCTGAGACAGAAGAGATTAGCATGCGAAGGAAACAACACACCCACTACTCCCCTTGTCGAGACTCACCATTCGGTCCAGCGACACTGACTGGTCATTACCTTGAAGGTCTTGAGCTCACAGCAGAAAACCTTGTGCCCACGACTGCACTTGCCGTCACCGCTCTCTCCAGGCTCGCCTCCTGTTGATGATTCGAATAGCGTGACCTCTCCCTTGTGACACTGTCCGTTGCAGTCTCCTCCGCTGCCTCTCCAAGTGCACTGCATGGGAAGAGCACTGTTCTTGCAGCAAATGGGGCGACCCTTTTAAACCTCGTTAGAAATTTTAAACGCTGCTCCGAAAGTCGTAATTTGCCCAGAGAAAACTCACAGAATTACCGGAGCAAGTCCCTCTATCAAAAGACATGCTCTTGTAGCCGTCTCGGCAGCTGGAGGCTTGTGTATTGTCAAGATCGACACAGTCAGGGAACATGTAACAATCGCTGTCAAGGTGAGGCATCTCAACCTGGTGTACAGGAGGGTCGGTCTGCCCTTGCTGGTCGCCCCCGCTGGCATCGCAGACGCTCTTGGGACAGTAGCCTCTAGCGCAAGCGAAAGCGCAGAGACCATGGTCGTTGCCAATTCGACTGATGGCCTTGGTCGTTTGGGTGGGATTCAGGAAATTGAGAGGGCCTTGACTTGTACACTTGCACCTATGGATAGGGCAGAAGCCATTGTAGCACGCAAAGTTGCAAATCGCTGCCCATTCCCCATCTCCCGTCCCCGAGGTGCATGCTGGTGGGTTGAAAGGAGAAACTGTCGGCTCTATCAAGGGATACTCCGTCTTGCCGCAGTACGTCGCGGGGCAGGCCCCGTAGAGACATGCATAGTTGCAAAGTCCAATGTAGTTCGAGTTCAAGCCCTCCGCGGGGAAAACTTCCCCGGCTGTCTGTGGAGGCAGCTTGATCTGGGCACCCGTCGCTTTACAAACACAAGCACTCTCTGGGCAGTAGCCCCAGAAACAGGTTGTGCGACAAAGGACATCAAAGTCGTTAGCACCCACGCCTCTGATGCACACTTCGTCTTCTAGAGACGGCGTGTTGATTGGCCTCGAGGCTTTGGAACTCAAACTTCCTCCAGCCCAAGCGTCGAAGCCGGTCATACCGTTGTGGCAATCGTTTTTTATGGCAGGTCCGGTTTCGTCCGCAATGAGAACATCTTTCCTCCATACACTGATTCTGACGTCGCCTGTACGGCCGTCAAAAGGGGCACTTCCGTGGTAGAGGCCAGCACCGCCGTCGGGTAGGTCTCTCAGAACGCCTTTGGACGCCACGCCTCCAATGGTGACCGTGATAGTGACCGCCTCAGTCGAGAGAATGGTGAAAAACACGGAATCCTCAATGATGTCGTACGACTGGAATTCCATTTGGACCTGCGAAACGGTGTTGCCCGTGGTGCCACCTGTGCTGCAGGCCCCCTTGGGAGTGGGACGGTACCAAAATGAAACCCCCTCGTACGTGATGGTAGCTTTGCTATTTTTGTACCGATCGATGGCAAATGGCAAGAAAACCCGCCAGCCATGGTGATCGAGGGAGTACATATAAGGTGCCTTGCCGGTGTCAAATGCCACGAGGGCGTGGTCCCGGATTGGGCCAATGTGGTGGCTTTCGCCATAGTCGTTCCATGAAATGATCTGGACGAACTCGGGCATAAGAACGTTAACCTGGATCCAGCGGTCAAACCAAAGGTGGTCGCCACGCCACAGCCAGTTCTTACCGAATCCAGGAAGATTGGTATAGAACCATGGAGAGACTGGCATCATGTATGGTTTACCCTTGAGAGCCCGTCTATAAGACGCATCGACGTACGTTTCCATGTCATGATCTCCCCACGGCCAGCCAGCCCAACTGAAAAGCCCGTCAGCAACACCACTAGCCTTTGCAACTGCGGGATCAGCACCCAGAGATGACCAGTCTGGTATAAAGAAGCAGCCAGTCGTTGCTTTGATATCGACCCAGTCTTCAGCTTGATCAGGCCCTTCAAAGGTCGATACGAAAGGTTTGCCCTGGTATCGGAAGTACGCACTACTCGATGCATACTTATTTATCCAGGTTATCACTTCCTCCTTGGAAAAGGGTCCGCGGCCAGCATAGTCGAAAGAAAAGAAGAGTTTGAAGCCAAGAGCCTCGGCATTTGAGAAAGCGTCTGCAATAGCTTTGGCATTCATTGGTTCTCCCTTTGCCATATTAAGAGCGAACGCATCGATGTGGGCTTCTTGGGCCAGTTTGATATCGTCGATCCAGTCAGCTGCTGAATAGTGCTCCGTGTTGCCGACCTGCGTGATACTTGCTTTAGCGTACAAGAATTACATCAAGCTTGGAAACTTATAATGAGGTTGGCTTACCATGAAGTGAGCAAAAACGGCCCGTGACAATACAAAATTTACCCATGATAAGGCTACGAGAAAAAAGGCGAGCAGCCTCATGGCGTGATGCTTCGGGAACGCAGAAGACCGTGGAAGAATAAGGTACCAGAGGCTCAACTTGCAAGAGCTACGAGTTGTGACGAACCCGAGACCACGTTCAAGCAGCGTGTCAAGAGACTCATATTAGCCATTTTCTTTACACTAGCATTTATGATCACACGCCTCTCGCTTTCTGGTCTCTGTGACCGGCGTTGCACTCTCTTTCAGCCAGGCGGACCCAGACCCTTGTCACTGCACATTACCAACGACCAGCAAGACATTGCTAGTGACTAGAGCCTGATCATACCGGGTACGCAAACCGAGAATCCGCCTCAGTCGGTATCGAAGACTGCTGCCCTCGAGAATTGCTGCTAGCCAGAGAAATGCCAGCATAGAATGATCCATTTCACATGCATGGTGGAGGTTGGGGGCTAGGGTCAATCTATAATCTCCATTTCGTGGCAGGGACTTTACAACAGGCCATTCTCGTCTTTGGCGGATATGGATGTAATTAGCATGAAGTCTCGAAGGATTCGCTTTCCGACCAAGCGAGCATCCACACTGAATGTTGCCAAGATGTGTCGGTCCTGTCGGAGAGCTTGATGTGACCAAAAAGTCATGGATTCATGGCGGCTAGATGCGCAACTGCGGCCTTGTTGGTGATGAGGACATGGATGTTGCGCGATGAAGAACGATTCCATTATGCAGTCAGGCCCATCCTCAGGTGAAGCGAGCTCTCTATGCGGGTCGCATTTGTCAATAAGATTATGGACCGGATGTAACGCTAAACGGGTCGGTCGCTCCAGACAATCCAGTGACCCTTGACGAGTGGACTAGAGCAGATCATATCGCTGTAGACAGTGTTGTTTTAAGACGGTACCAGGACTGAGGCAGAAGGACTATGTCAGATTGGTAGTTTTGGCTGAGACAAGGAAGTGTAAAATTATGTGTCCATATAGGTCTATGATCTAACAACAAGGTAGGAGAGCTTCTCTTTCTTCTAGTGTCTATATGTAGGCATAATCTCCTCTCATTGTCAGAATTTTCATATGCAAAGAAGATTCTTCTCATCCCTCTCGATATCGCTTTATGGCGAATACCTCTCCCAGGGTTATTATTATGACCAATCCAGCAGATTATGCTACCAACCGTCTCGCAATGTGGCAGGGGTGTGCGGGCCGTTCACGAGCGTTTCCGAATCCGTGCCTTTCATCCGGTGCCATACCCAGTAAAGTAGGTAGATCCCTTGCAGACACAACCAACACGCAGAGCCTGGATGTAACCTTGAACCAACAGAACGTCCACTTGAACTAGCAAAAAAATCCCTTGAAGTATTTTGCCGCTAGGTGACTCCAGCGAATCATGAAAAAAGGAAAAGCTCATCTGTCCTGAAAATCTCAGGCCACTTGCCGTGCAATTAGCGGCGAGTCTCGGGCAGCCGAGGTACGTGTATAACCAAGACTGTTCGATGTATAGGATTGTCTGTTTTCGAGAGATCAAATAGACAATTTCACTGGGCTCGCTATGACTGCTCGGGTCAAGGCTCCAGCTTTCGATTGGGATGACATGGGTTAGAGCACTCATAGGCCACGGCACTATCAGAACTGAACCTAGCAAATTTGAGCCACAAGCTTGTGCGACTGGTGACGTTAATCGCGAAGCCAAGTGATATACTACTACCTAGGTTATTAAGGCTGAAGCGATCCAGATATGCGGGCGGGATTGCAGGCCTGCGGGCAGCATGTTCCGTGATATCTCTAAGCGCTCGAGCCCTGACTCGTGACAAGATAGGTGTCTCCACCCTCACTTGCGGTTCTGTTGGTAAATTGCTATGGGGTTCCCGACCTGAACACGAGCGGCACAGCAGCTCGTTGGGTACTAGCGTTATCACGGAGGCCGTGAGAACTCTGGTAGGAGGAACAAAAGGAAACCCTTGATTCATGTTATTTTCAGAAGCTTGGCTGCTGCGGATATGTAACTCGGGAAATTTGATGAGGAATGTGATCAGTATCTGAAATACACTTGTGACTGAGCTGCAGCATCTAGTGTACCTGCCCCCTTGAAATTTTCATCGCACCCACAATGTCTTGCGCCAACATGCTATCGTTCACGGAGAACTTCCTTCCCAATCTTCTCTTCAGGTTTTGGGATCTCTCCCAAGTTCTCCGTTTCTTCGGGGCTATCATCCACAGGCTCAATTAGCCATGTCCAAAACAGCCGCTGTTCTTCGCGGCCTAGTCTTATTGCCTGTCGTCCTCGCCCAGCAATTTCCACTTCGAACCACTTCGTACGAGCACTTTGGTTTGAGTGAGAAGTGTTTCGAAGCACTGAACACCACTTTGGAGTGCTCTAGTCAGTTAGGTAGTCACGTCCGATCAGAGTAAGCTACTGTTCACCGGCCTTGCCCACGATTTACAATGTCAATATTTACGCCTTGGTTGCAGATCTACAAGAGTTGACGTTCTCGACGCCGATGGAATCGACGCAATTTGCAATGACGGTTGTAAAAAGTCATTAGCAGAGTTGCGGGCTAAGATTCAGAGTGATTGTAACCCAAAGATCGATGTCTTCGATCATGGTTTAATGATATATCCTGGTATGATACTACGAGATCACCTCTTCATTGCCAGTTTGTCTAACAAAAGATTCAGCGACGTATATTGTAGATCGTTACATTTACGTCTACGACATTTCATGCTACAAGAACAGGTACGCCATCATTAGGTACGGGCTATTGGAGGCGCAAGGTTGACGTTGAGGGGACTCAGAGACACAGGAAACCCTTGCGACTACATTCTGGGCGAATGGAGAAATCAAACAGATGATTCCCCGCGCGAATGCGACGATTGCGTTCTTGGGCCGATGGAAATTGAAGTCAACTCTCCTATCGGCCACACCGAATCGCGGGCTGTTGAGTTTCAGTCCGTGATCTCGAGCTGTGGCGCCACAGGGTACACCTACACTAGTCCGTTGCCATATGCCATCAGCTCAACAGTGGCCCCTCCGGACTTGTCCGCATCCCCGACCATAGGGGCTCAGAGTTGGTCAGCCCAACGCATGTCAGCAGATTGCGCCACCACGTACCACGTCCAAGACGGCGATACCTGCGACAGCATTTCTATTGCTCAGAGCGTCTCGAGTAGGGATCTGGTAGAGGCGAATGAACATCTTGACAATTGGTGCGGTGGTCTCGGCGCAGGACAAGAAATGTGTCTGCCTGCGCAGTGTAAACTGCACCTACTGACGACCGAGGATTCGTGCGAATCCTTGTTAAGGCAATATGGAGTCTCGCCCAAGGACCTTTCGGAGTGGAACCCAAAACTCTACATCCAATGTGACGGGTTCAGTCAGATCAATACAGGTTATATTTGCGTCGGGTAAGTCACAGACTCTAGTTCTAGAGCATGTCAACGATGCGCACCTCGCTCATGACTTTCGTGGTTCCTAGGCCTCCAATCATCCCTAAAAAGTCACCGGAAACCTCACCAGCACCTGGGAAAAGCAATTCCACCATTAACATCAGTGCTTCCTCACCGGCGGCGACGAGCACTACGGTCCATCAGACAGCAGTGCTACCATTGAAGGAATCTTCAACAACTCAGGCTTCAATGGATGAAAATGTGTCCAGTGGAGGGCCAATTGGGGAGACCACCGGGGTGTTCTTCAGCATCGAATCATCAATTCCCTCTCGTTCAGAGACAAGCAAAGCCCAAGATCCTACCTCATCTGTACAGATTTAGAGGTTGATTCAGTTAATGAAGGTCGGGGTCTTGAACGCCAAAGGTCTACACAGGTGACGCAGGTGGGTATTCCGCTGCTCGTGGCCGTAATATGAGCCTGAAAGGATCAATGATGCTTCATGTACTAGACACCTGTAACTTCGTGGACATGGCAGCGTTTCCTATGGTAGAGAAGAACAGCAGGTGCTTGAATACTGTCCCTAGGTATCACCTGAGACTAGAAGAGAGAACTTCGCGAGTATCCTCGTCAAAGTCTCTAGAGGCTAGTCGATTTCGAAGCACAATTGGGTGAGCGTACGGAATGGGCCATGCCCGAACGGTCATGTTCTCCTCTTGTTACAGTTTTCTTTTGAGAATCGACGACCATTGGAAATGTGTATGCAGTAGACTAGCATCTGGAACATCATGTCTCATTCCCACAACACTATTTTGTTGACAAAAGAATTGCGTGCATACTAGAGGTAACCCAAATAGCACTGAGCCCTGACCACCGACGAGACGGCTCACGTACCTACCTTAATTGTGAGCCTTGATTTGCGAACTCCCTCATCTCCAAACTTGCGACAAGAGCGTTTCGATTCTCGGTGGATCAGCAGGCCCATCTGGAACTTTTTATATCATCACCTCATCATTCATCTGCTATTCAAAGAAGCTGCTGCCATTATAGACGTATCAATCCATGTCTTAACCCTTTTAGAAAACCATGCACAAGCGGCCCTTGAGCTGTTTAGACAAATAGTGTTCCGCCATCTCATTGGCCTCGTCAACACCGAACGTCTTCTCAACGTGCGTCTTGCAACCATTCTTTGCGTGCAATTCCACCATTTCCCTGCTCCGTTCAGGAGTGCAAATCAACGCACCACGAACAGTCTGCTCCTTGAAATTCAGCGCAAAGGGATCGACCTCAAAAGGCCCATCGGCGGGGAGACCGACATCGACCAGTACACCACCCTTGCGCAAGAATTGCTGTCCGAACCTGACAAGCGGCCGTGCCTCGGTCGTGATGACGATGCGGTCGACACCGGGATTGGTATCATAGAATGAAGTCTGGAGCTCTTCAACAACCTTCTTCTGAGACTCTTCTGTATCGATGAGGTACGTGCGATCGGGCTTGAGGTGTGAGGGCACATCGTTGGCTAGGGCGAGTCCTTCTTGTCTGTTGTCGATGACGATGACCTTGTATCCCAGCGCCTTGGCGTATTGTACACCGAGGTGTCCCAAGCCGCCGATGCCGATGATGGCAAGCCATTGGTCCTTATGGCCCTGCGCGGCACATAGCGCGCCATAGACTGTCGCACCGGCGCAGAACAAGGGTGCGGCCTCGGCCCAAGGGATAGACTCGGGAATCTTGGCGACGACACGGGCGTCGGCTTTCATGTATTGTGCGAACCCGCCGTCCAGGGTAAGCCCCAGCATGCCGACGAGGTTATCGCAGACCTGTTTTCCTTGGTTGCACGAGTTGCACTTGCCGCAGCAGCCATAGGTGTTGATAGAACCGACGCGGTCACCGACTTGAAGACCCTGCTTGCCTGGTTCGGAACCGAGCCTGATGATGGTGCCGGCGGGTTCGTGGGAGCCGACAAGGCCTGGCTTTGCGCCGGCCGAGGCGTAGACACCCTGCTGGACCTGGAGATCTGTGTGGCAGTAGCCTGCGGCGGCAATCTTGACGAGGACGTCATTTGGGCCGAGGTCGGTCGGGACGTTTACATCCTTTACCTCATAGCCTTTGTTGAAGTCTTTGATTGTCGCGGCGCGCATTTGTTGGGGGATCTGGTCTGCCATGTTGGAAGGAGGTTGAACAGCAATTACTAGCGATGTCGCAATGTTGTTGTTACTCAGGATTGGGTATGTTTGGCTCAATGCAATTGGAAGGTACCAAAAATGGGATTTAATAGGGTGACCAGAAAATGAGTTTACATGAACCTCTTTGTCTTTGATGTCTTTCGATACTTATAGGCTGGCGAGACCGTCAACCGGTGACCGATTTTGTCTGTGAAACGTCATAATAGACGCTCATCAGATGTGATGCGGAACGCAATATCAGCGTCACAGGATCCAATGATAGTTACGTCGAGTGGAACAGTTTGACGGACTTTGCAGCCTCATAGTGTCATAAAAGTGGCCCATTCAGAAACGCTGGTCCGGGAGCATCTGAACGTTATCGGACCCCATTCAGCATGTAAGCTTTCAGAAAAATTGTAGTATCGTCGATGCCTGCCACTTCTCTGCCATGTAACTGACATGTCAACGATGGTGAACATTATGCAATACCAGAATTCGATTTTCTCACACTTACAGCATCGGTTAGAACTTCAAGTCTATTGGTTGCTAGTGGTAAACTGGTAAATGTCGGTGAGTTTGGAAAAGTTCACAAATGTGTGTAGTCGATGCCCCGTTGCCATATGCAAACCCAAATTACGAGGTCGGCCGATTACCGCTGTCTCAAGTACGGTGATGTAACCTTGAGATCATCACAACAGTTTCGTCCGGTGAGAGTGCATCGGAGCTTTACACCCTTGGTGACATCGGTGTAAGGCAAGCTAGATCTGTGGGCTCAACTCCACCGAGACCCACCGTGCCGAGCGGGATCCTGAGATGCATCCGCCATCGAGATCGCGCTGGATACAGACCTGGGTTTCCTTCAATATTATACACGTTTTGATAAGAATGCTAAGGGCGCAATTAATTGCGAGTCTAGTTGTAGGGCTCTACGTTCCTTTCTCAATACCCTATCATGACCAGGTGCATCTCGTCTTAATGTTGGGCTGACCTGCTGCGCCAAGGGTTGGGTGGTAGACCTTTTTGGTGTCCGCAGTAACGGGATCCACCACCTGGCACTGGTCGTCCTCGTCGTAGTAGCTCCCCTTCAACTCCGTCTCACAGATTCTCTGCCTCCAGTTGCGCAGGCTGTCATTGTACGCGGCAGGTGGTGCTGGTGAACAGCTGGCGTGGAAGACGGTGATATATTCAGCCAAGACTGTGCTAGACAGGGCGAACAAGATGGTTGCTGTCTTGAGATGCACTGTGGAATGTTAGGAATGCAAGTCCGGTTCTTGAGTATTGGGAGAATGTTTGACTAACTGATGAAGTAGTGATTGTTATGAGGAGCGATTGAGTTGATGTTGTTTGCTTCAATCGCCTTGAACGAGATATGACTCTAACGTCTAACATGCATTGAAAGACCGGATTGGTGTGGGCTTAAGTATACCGGACCCAGCACGAAATCGCGGCATTGAATACTATTACTGTTCGAAGTTCAATTAAATTGAAGGAAACTCTAAGAAATAGCTAGGAGTTGAAAGTCGAATGTCGCATTCGCTTTTCCCCCTTTTGAAGTGCTAAGCTTTGTACTAAGTGGGCTGCAAGAGCAAGCCTCGCCCGCTCGTTCCGATCACACAGACCACAACGACATCACCGAAGTATTGAAAATATCGTTTCGTTGTTGGAAAAGTTCTTCACATCTAAAAAGAGAATCATTTGCTTTCTGGGCTTTTGCGCTTATTATTTGATTAATTGATTGTGTGTTAGCAAGTCGAAGCTGGTCACGTCTGATGTCTCGTTCCCAGGATTCTGATGCTGCCCCAGCCCGACGGAAGTTATGACTTCGTCTCCTTCGCCTATACGCCAGATCCAGGACCAATAAATCTTATTTAATGTCAAGCAATACTTATTATATTTGACGGTGAACTATAAACTCCCAAGCAACTGATGGGCGACCCACTATGCCTCAATAAGGGCTAATGTTATCAGTAATCCAACTTGTTCATTAATAGTTGCCACCTCACATAGACAAATGTTATGGATTGTTCAGCTAGCCCGCAAGGAATTTCGTCTTTTGAACCTGCCCGTCATGGTTCTAGGAGCCTTTGATTATGTGTCCCTAAGACAGCGCACGTTACCGAAGCATACTTGGTGAGACGGAGACGGATCTTTTCCAAACGGATCCTCGGAATATATCAGTCTCATCTGATGTGATTGAGGTCGAAACCCCGCTACTCCTCTGCCTCTTCGCGCGCCAAGCATGAGATATCCCCCCTGTCATGATGGAGTACTTAACGGGATTGCTCTCAGGCATATTGACACAGACTCCAATATATTCGCTCTATCCAATCCGAAAAAGAACGGAGCAGAATACCTCTCACTTCCACTCTTATTGATGGCCCTGTTGATCGTTGACACGAAGAAGTCATCTGTCCGTCTCATGAAGCAGTCGGCAATGTTGACAACGAATGCGCCGGGGATGGGATCCGCCTTGATCCAGTGGCCGGACTTGCTGAGTACTTCGAGACTGCCAGATGAGTCTTGAGTAACAATAGTGAAGCATTCGACATCAGTGTCTGCGCCGATTCCGTTCTGCTCGTCTACCGAGTGTGAAGTGGAGAATGCACATTCCCGCCTCTGGCCGCTTGACATAGGTATTCGTCGAAGTAATCTCTAGGCAGGTGGAGCGCGAATGCAAAGTCATCCGACGCAAGAGCCTCATGAGCTTTGTGTGATAGGCGTATAGATTGTCCTGGAAACTAGGTAGGTCGGTAGGCAGATGTTGACGGACTTCGACTGCTTCAGGCCTTTCTGCGCGTCGTAGGCCTAGTCGAAAGCTTCACTCAAATTTGGGAAAGAATGAACAGGGAAGAAAACGCCCTGATGTTCTAGAATTGAAATCGCAACCTATCCTGAATTTTCCCCATCTTCAGGTCTTCCTTGCAACAATGACATCTCCTTTGTCACAGAGCCGCCGTCTAACTCGGCGCGTAGAAGTAAATCAAGATACAGACACTGAAGTGGACATCTACGTCGACAAAGAAACCCGTCCGTTTCCTCAATCCCATCCCAGTTACAGTCCTTGGGAGTTTGTGGGGTTATGGGTGGTCTTCGGATCTTTCAATACTGGCGCTTAGACGACGGGTTCTTCCTCGATCTCCTTGGGCCTGAATGGCTGGGTAAGCGATTTAGCCCATTCCGCGAGGTGACTAGAGGCAACGATCCGTAAACTGATGGGGCTAAAGCAATCGATGATTGCAATCGTCGTCGCTCACACCTTTGTTGGGTTTGTGTGCATAGCTGGAGGCCACCCTGGCGCAAAGTGGCATATCGGGTTTCCGCTTTGGATGAAGCAGAATTGGGGTATACGGGGTTATCTGTTTCCCATGGTAAGTCTAGACCTTAAATCTTACCTTACCTTTCCCAGTGCAAACAAGATTTGAGGCTGTGTGGACTAATCTCGCGACCAGGCCATCCGAGTCTTTTGAATGGACAGCCACCAACACGTGGTATGGGAGCTAATGATTGAAGGTCCTATTGACCTGCGTCTGGCCATCGCACCTCAATTTGGATTCTGAGCTTGCGGACGGGACGAGGAAAGTCTATGACCTCATCTCCTTCATCCTGTACTTCCTGCTCTGTTTGCCATTAGTGTGGTTCAGCACAGAAAACCATCGCAAGCCGTGACTCTCCGCCTCGACCATGGTGGTGACAGCCGTTTTATGCTATCGATCTGGGGCACAGCTCGTGCGGGCGGTGGAGGCGCCATTCTTGCAGATGTGAGCAAGGTCTCTGGAATCAAGCCTGCGCAAGGGGGAGACTTAGGCTGGGCTGTCGTAGCCGTGGTTACGGCTAAACTGGAGGTATCGCTAAGCATATGTGGTCTCAGTCCGACTACACCAGCTTTGCACGGGAACCAGGGGACCAAGTCCTCGCTCAGCTAATCATGGAACCCTTGGGAACCATCATTGTGGCCTGTATCGGTATTATCTGCACATCGTGCGCGGCAACGCTCTACCCCAACGAAGGGATGCTGCTATAGCAGCCCTACGCCTTCCTAGATGCTGTGCGCAAGAACGAGGCTAATTTCGGCGACCGGGCTGGGGCCGTTTTCGCCAGGATCGCTTTCATGCTATCGTAGTTTGGCATGGTCGTTGCCTTCAACTGCGGAGTCGCGGGTATCGATCTAGCCGCGCTGCTACCGCGATAGTTTACGATCCGTCGGGGGATTTCTGACCGTCGTCTTCGTCTTCGTCATGCAGCCCTTGTCACTGCTTAACAGTGCCGGCAACTTTCTAACCGTGGTCGGCAGCTTCAATATCTTCCTCGGTCCGCTCAAGGGAATCATGTTTGCCGATGACTTCCTCATCCGCAAGCGGACCATGGAGCTTACCGGCCTGTAAAGTGACTCATCCGCCAGCGATTACTGGTAGAACAGAGGTTAAAATCTGCGGGCGGCCGTTTCTTGGGTGCTTGGAGCCTAGATATTCATTTACGGGTTAGCGGAAAGAGCCAAGGCACCTAGCGAAGTTTGGTTGGGTGTGGGAGACTATACCAGTTGTTCTGTTTTGTGGGATGTCTCGTATCTGGCTCGACGTATCTCGCATTCCATCGTATCGTGCCCATTCCTGAGAAACAGGCAGCGGATGACCTCGGTGATTTTGGCACCTTTGGAGACGCGCCAGTACTGCGCGGCGTGGCTGAGCTGGACGTAAGCTCGATATCAGAGGCTGGGGGAGAAAAGTCGCGCGCGGGGCAAAAGGTCCAGATCGTCTGACGCCAGTGCAAGTTCGTATTTATTGCCTGTTCCGTCGACTTTTCAAGTAAACTAGAGCCCCAATATCTCTACAAACTTCAAGCCACCGTCCCAAGATGGAAAGCTGACAAGTAAATGTCTCAAACCATGAGTTCTTCGCCCCTTCAATCATATCATTTATGATGTCTTTTTTGTGATATGAGCCGTGGCACCCCTCCACATTCCATCTGATCGTCGTGCATGGCTGCAGCGTACCTGAAATTTCTGCATTTGCTCCGTGCTAATCCGTTTGCAATTGCATTAGAGGCTCGACAAAACCTAGACTATTTACGACATCAGCCCAAAACAATCGAGTGAGAAGCCTATTGGATCAAGGTAGAGGAGCACACAAGGGACGACTAGAACGGGTAGGGCGAGTGACTTTGGATGAATGGTCGCATTTCGCACAATGCCACCTTGCATTTTGGGCTTAGAGGAGCACGCGCCAATTCCTCTTTCTTCCCAGCTGTCAGTAATTAGCTCAAGCTTTGGGCGAGCTTATCCCACGTTTCATGGAGACTACCCATTTGGATTTCATTGGGGACACCCTTTGTCATGATGTGGATAACTGATCTTCAGAAGGCGAGATGGTACCCACGCCCATCAGACTTTCCGACGTCAATACCCGGCCCGTGGCCTCTAGGCGTGGTGCCGATCGAAAAGCTTGAGCCAGGTGCCGGTTCAAAGTCTATTCTTTCTATCTGGACTTTTGTCTCTACGTTCTTTTGAGCTCAAGCGGACCCCCCATCCCCGCATCCAGGAGAGAGGATGGTTCCGATCCTTGCGTAACCCGACCTTCTTTCATTAGGGTGCCGTCCCTACGGATCGCATGCCATCGAATACGGCCGAGTTTGGCTCCCTAGATCTTCTTACCTTGTTTTCCTTCTGATTGTCCTTTCTTGCCCCTGCCGCAATTTCCCTGATGCAGCAGTGGCAATCATCAGGTACGATCAACCTCATGTCGCGGCATGGTAGACGTCGACATTGACCCGCACCGACCTCGTCGCGTTATCGCGGTCGCCATCTTTTGCCTCTGCCTCACCTGGGTTGCAGTGCCGCTGCGCATCTACTCGAGGCTCTTCCTGACACGGGTCTTCACTCTCGATGACAAGCTCATATGCTTGGTCCAGATTACATTCACCGCGTATCTTCTTACGGATATCGCAGCAGTCTTCCATGGGTCTGGACATGATGCTGTAGAGTTTTCGCCAGAGGACAGAAGGATAGCTCTTCAGGTATGTGTAGACGACTTCTTAACGGTGAACCAACAAGCTTGAAGTCTTTCCACTTTATGCGCACTAGAGAGCTGATACTCTATCTGCAGCTTTTCTTCGCCGGCGAACTCCTTTATCTGATAACTACTCTGCTCCTGAAAGTCTGCGTTGGCCTACTGTTGCTCAGCATTGCCATTGTACCTTTACACATTTGGACACTTCGAATACTCCTCTGTTCGACATTCGTGTTCGGGTCCCTGTACTTCGTCCTTGTCATCTTCCAGTGCAGACCGCTTCACGTATTCTGGGACGTGGGCCCTCGGACACCAGGCAGCTGCTTCTCAGATAGCGTGGTGCTTGGCTGCACCTACACCCTCGCGATTCTGAACTGTCTCGCGGACTGGACCTTTGGCATTCTACCGTTGTTGATTGTCTGGTCCCTGCAGATGCGCCTAAAGACGAAGCTACTAGTCATTCTCCTGCTAGGCTTCGCATCCATGTATGTCGCCCTGCCTGTTCGTGTACCAGCATACGCAAAAGCTTCTGGACTCACCAATCACCTCCCGTCTTCTTTAGAGCGAGCATTGCGACCATAGTGCGCGCAGTAGCTGTTCCAGCATTGCTCAACCAGGAAAACTTTCTGCGTATGTCTCAAGAAAGCTACCCTATAGCCAGGCTTAGTCATTTACTTACTTTTCCAAGGCGACACAGCATATCTCGCCATCTGGAGCAACATCGAGCCCGGTATTGGCATAGCTGCAGCCTGTGCACCGGCTCTGTCCCCGCTGGTTCGACACCTTCTCGGGAAAAGGCAACGGCGGGGATACGAAAGGGGCATCTGGCGAACACGGGACCTTCCAACAATCACAAACGACTCAATGGCGCTATCGGACAGAACAGAGAGGAGGCAACACGAGTTCCGAAGCGGGGGCACATCTAAAAACGACGTACTACGTCTGCGGTTCGACGACTTTTCATACGAATCCCGGATCTCCTCCGGCCCACAGGCAAATCAGGTGCGGCCGGTGCCGCCGCCAAGGAGTCGGTCGTCGTGGGCCTTTCCGTTACGGCGCGGGTCAGGGGCCAGCGGCGGCGGCTTCGATTGTCTTACTGCTGATCCCACGCTCACCACATCGACTATATCGTCAGACGGGGCAGCGGCCGAGCCGCCGTCCTCGGGGATCATGAAGACGATGGAGTTTCAGCTATCGTATGAGGCGAGAACGTGGACGACGTCGAGGCGGGGGAGGATGATCCCGCGGGAGGAGAGCATGACGCTGCGGCCTTCGACGATTGCGGAGATGAGGAGGGTGACAAGCGGAGAGGTGCCGCTTCTTCATGACGGGATGTCTCCGACTTCAAGAGATTATGATGTTGAAGCTGGGTTTACGCGGAGATCGTATAATAATCGGCACTCATCTCCGCCTGGGTCACCGTGGGAGTGGATGGGGAACCGACAGGCCAGGCCTCTTTCTATGAATGGGGGCAAGTTCGGAGCTGAGCCCACTCATACGACAACGGCGGAAAAGCGGCTATCGACAAAATCATAGTAAGAGAAGCACGGACTTCAGTTCAGCGAATACATAATTTTCAGTACATACTTATCTTCGTATTGACACCTTGTCTGGAAACTTGTGTATGGTCGCCCATATGCTATCACACGTCCAAATAACATACGCAGTGTGGCTGAGGTCTACCAGTACCAGGAAGTAAGTTGAGTATGAACAGTACTAGAGGTAAACTCCATTTTTACTCAACACTCTAGGAGTTCATCACGTCTGAATTTCCAGGTTACCTTAGTTTTCGTTAGTATTGACGTAAGCAAGATACCCGTTTGATCGGCCCAAAGCTTACTACTGCTCAATGGCATGATGATATGTGGAATGAACTAAGAAATCAATAAGAGACGTAAAGTATTCCAGTAAAGCTTCGAAGAATTGCACATTGTCGTCTCTATGGTTCCAAGGGCAGTGCAGTCATCAACTCCCGAACACACTTAGATCAAACAATCAGCTACATTACGATTCATACTGTTGTAAAAGAGTGTAAATTGAGTTGGTCTGCTTCTTATGTAAATCATGAACGCCTTCTCCCAGTCTATCCTGTTCTAATTCTCCCAGTCCACCAGATCCAGTCAGTCATCCTTAAAAGACGAAGCCATAAACCAAGATAGCAATGCCTACCAAAATCCGCCATTAGCCTAAGCTCTTATTCCGAAGGTCAGAACGCTAGTACTCAAAACAGCAGACCAGGTGTGGGAGCTTCGACTTACTCACTCAGGTCCACACTGCTTCGAAAGAGTACGCATGCTGCGCACCCACAGTGCTTGTATCCAACTTTTCCGATAGCAATATTGATACTGTCTCATACAGAGAAAGGCAAGTACTGAAACAAGTGTCTAGGACAGCGATCGACGAAAGTCATTCACCCATTCTTCAAGATCGGATCTGGTGAAGGGGGTAACGCGAATGTTACGTCCCACATGCTCTCTGAAGAACTCCTCGCCTTCTTCAGCGCTGAAAACAAATTGAGTCGCAGGTGCAGAATTCGGGTTCATGTCGTCGACCTTGAGAACGAAGTCGGAAGTGATCCCCGCGGGGGATTGCATGGTTTCATACAAGGCGTTCGGGCGGGAAGATATAGTGCCAATTACAATGGTCGCCAGCTTGTACTTGCGGAGATGTCTCGGATGGATCTGACCGCGCCGACAAGTCCAAATGAGCTCCTTCCATTCCGGGCTGGGCCAGAAGGTGCGTAGAAGCTCTGGAGAATCCATCTGCTCGATGGCGGAATTCGGAATCGCTATGGAGACAATGCAAACCGCCAGATTATGGCCACGCCGTTTTGCGAATGCGGCGTATCGCTCGGCCACCTTGTAGTCGGGCGTGAAGTAGTAGAGCTCGCCATGGCCACTGAAGTCTGTCGGCGCCCAGCTTCGGAGAGGGCTGATGCGGTCGATCTGGCCATTGACATTCAAGAGATTGGCAACTCGGTGTTGTTCAACTCCCTTGAATAATATCGTGAAACCAGGGGCATTCCGAGCTGCGATGGCAGACGCGGACCGGGAGCTTCCAGCTGCTACACCGCGGGTTCCATCCCTCTGAACACTGGAAGAGGATCGATTGAGACGGCCCCCCCGACTGGAGGCAGAACTTCCTCCACCAAGGGAGCCTTGTCCTGTCTGAGAAGACTCAGCGCGGGTGTGAGCGTTGCGAGTCTGAATGCCGAAGCTGGCGGGACCTGTGAGAGAGACCAGGTTGATTAAGCCAGAATCTCTCAATCTGGAGGCTCTTTGCATATCGCGGAGAGCTTCAAATCGCATTCTGATTGTATCTTTGGCCCAGTCAAGGCATGACATCGTGAGGCGAGTGTACTTGAACATCGGATCCATAATCACGAGCTGTGTCTCGTGATTCAGACCGTAGCCACTCAAAAGAGTGAGCCAGTTCGGGTCATTGTCAGTCCACGTGTCCGGTAACCCAGAGAAACGACCGATGATGAAGTCAAAGAAAGTCACCTGAGGATTACCTCGCGGAGGGTCAATCTCACGGCTGGGACCTGTGGAAACCAATTTGTCCACTTCTCCCAGATGTTCGTGGCTCTCCGATCAGTGAAATCAACGTGGATCAAAGTAGCATACGAGATTAGAAACTCGGGGAATTCAGTAAAGGCATTCAAAGAAGTGAGGGGTGTATCGAGCGAGATGTGCTGATATTCATTGTCAGCCTGGGCATTGAGACGCCGGTTATGGATCAGCCGAGTGCCCCTCCCAGTACGAGGACCCAGGAGACCCTTGTTCTCGAGATCAGAGGCATCAGAGGGAGTCAAGATAGATAAAGCGCTCATTTCAGCGTGACAAGATTCTAAGTACTCGTTGAACAGAGAAACCTCTCACTGGAGTCTACAATCAAAGGACAGCAATACCAGAGAATCAGCTTTTCTCAATCCCCTACATGTTTGAAAGCGATTGATCGTGATGAAGAGTGTAGCATGTGTAGGTATTGTACGAGGTAAACCAATACCTATATATGTGGGTAGACCTCGCACTCTGTTCAGCTTCAAGGCTGCGAAGAAGGAGCTGCGAGATACAAACATAAAGTAGCTTGTTTATAATCGTATGGGCATTGGTTTACACAATGCAGAGACAGCTTCAATGAGATTGTCGTCTTCAGGTATCCTAGGTAGATACATTTGAGACGGTAGGGTGTTTTTACAATCACACTGAAGACAAACAGCGCCGCCGGGTGCTAATAAACTGACAACATAACCAAAAAACTCATCACTGTGCATATATCCCCATTGTATTGGCAATGTAGCATAGCCAAAGCTTCGATGCGAGATTTCCGGCAGGTAATGTTGAGGCCAGAGCGACAAGGTACCACAAATATTATCGACCTTCCCCTTGAAAGATAACGTAGCGTTGCCAAACTACCTGATCTAAAAACATATTTATCCAAAACGATTTGCGGAAGGTAGAAAGAAGTATCAGATGGCCAGCGCTGATTACCTTCAATCGTGCTCAAATATCTCGAAGTACCTACTTACTTTGCCTCGAAACAACTGAGTGTAACTGACGCAAACCTCTCATTTGGGGCCAAAGAGCGCGCGTTTGATCAGGTACCTACATGTAGCTTCTCCAGCGAACAAGGTGTTTTAGTAAGGTATACTTCAAATCTATCTCCGAAACATTTGGAAAACGCAAAGGTCCATTTCCTCATTTCTGTACCACGTGATGCTTATGGTCAAGAATTGAGTCACCCGGATAGCTGATTGTTACACATGGCTATAAATTAGCTGCATTCTCCCTTCTCTGTAGCAAACAGAAGAGGAGAAACCGTCTTACTTTCATATTCGCTTTCCTTGCCTCTATCAACAACTCATTTGTCGCCAGTCTCGCAATTCGCCAACATTCAAAGAGACATCACCGACGTATACATACAAGAAACCAAACAGCACATAAAGTCATCATGCCGAAAACAAATAATCGTTCGGAGAACAGCAAGTTGGACAATCCCCTGTTCTTCTACATGCCGGACGCCGAATGGGGGGAGTTTTGTCAATGGTACAAAGCCGATTTCACCGTCTCCAAGGCAGACATCTCCGACCTTATCGGCCACACCGTAGACGACATGGACCCTGATGGAAGTATCACCTTCAACTGTGCTGAGCAATTCATAATGTACTGCAAAGCCGCAAGATTCCACGACGCCTCCACTCAAACGGGGATTCTAGCGACCAGCAACCCAAAGGAACAAAAGATACTGGGCAGAAACGTCACTGGGTTCACGAACGAGAGCTGGGATCAGATCAAGAGTCCCGTTGCTGAGATGGGCAACAAGGCGAAATTCGGACAGAATACGCACCTGTGCCGGAAGCTATTATCCACAGGCGATCGTTTGCTCTGCGAGGCTGCGTCAAAGGATCGCGTTTGGGGCATTGGATATACCGCTAAACATGCCTTGTCTCACCGTCAACACTGGGGTGAGAATCGGCTGGGTAAAGCTCTCATGGCGACGAGAGAATACCTAAGGAGCCAGGAGGCCCGGAGCAAGAAGCCTTGGGAGCAATATGAGGCATAATGGGACAACCCTCAATGGCAGTCATCTGTAGCCAGCAGCACAGCGCATGAATAACGACCTTCGCATCCATCTGGATACTTCATAGATACCACCATCTCGCGAGGATGATATACCCTCAAGTGCTCCAGATAAGGTTCGGTTTCACAAGAGTAGATGGCTCCTCTCCGCAGAACAGCATAACTCCGAAGCAGATGAGGCGCCATCAGCGTAGGCCTTGCGCAGTGCTTCTACGATTCGACAGTCGTAAACACCCACAATTAGAACCACAGAGCTGGGCAACAGGCAAAGTCTCACTTCATCGCTGGCGAAGCTGGTACGCTTTCTCGGCTCTCTCACTGCATCAGACGAGGATCATCACGAGGGTTTGGGTATAAGAAGGGACACTAGAGGGAGAACACTTCATGCTGGCATCGTGCATGTGAGTTGTCAGCATGAGATCCAGTTCGCAGTGCGGGTGGGGAAGGTTCGGTAAGACTGTGAGAGTCTGACAGACCGATCAATCAGGGAATTCAGGAAAAAGGAGTCGCGAAGCTTCAGAGTTTGTTGTGGTTGTTCATTTCTATCTCTAAAGATGACAAAGGAGATGTTGTAGTCTATTACAGGCAGGTATCAACAATGGTACAGATGGGATGTCATCAATCCAGACACCAACCCCGATGCACCCATTCCTCGACTCCGTTACGATGCAACCCATGAATATTGACACAAAAAAAAAAGGTTTCCGAAACAATGATAATCACAACGTCCCATGGTATCTCTCTATGCCATTCCCCCAACAAGCGAAGCAGCTTAGAAGCAGAAAACGGCATCAGACATCTTGGAAGTGGCACCAGGCTTCTCGAAGCCCAGGTTCGTCAACGACTTCTTGGCCGCGTTGACCATACCAGGCGGGCCGCAGAGCATGACGCGGGAATCCGGACCGGGAGAGGGGAACCGCTCGGCCATCATCTCCTGCGTGACGTATCCGGTGCCGTAGGCCCAGTTCTCGGGCGGCGAGTCGAGGAGGTAGTGCAGCTTGAAGTTCTTGGGGTACTTTCTCGCAAAGGCCTCGAGCTCGTCCCGCAGCAGGATGTCGGCCTCGGAGCGGTTGGCGTAGATGAGGCTGACCTCGGTGGTGTCGCGGTCGTCCTCGCAGATGGCGCGGATGAGCTGGTACATGGGGGTGATGCCCGTGCCGCCGGCGAGCATGCCAATCTTCTTTGCCAAGTTGGGGCGGTAGCGCATGGCGCCCTTGGGCCCGCGGAACTGCACCTCGTCGCCGACCTCGAGGTTGGCGAGGTACTTACCGGTGAGGGCACCGTCGGGGTAGCAGCGTATGACGAGCTCGAGCTTGCCGAGGTCGGCGTTGTTGGAGGTGGGCGTGTAGGAGCGGGAGACGGACTTGCCGTCGATCTCGGCCTTGATGGCGACGTGCTGGCCGATGGGCAGGCCGAGGACCGTGGACGGGGTGGGGAGCTCGAAGACGAAGCGGTAGACGTTGGGGGCGAGGAGGGTCTTTTCGACGAGCGGGAGCGGGTGGTAGGAGACGGGGTCGAGCCAGCCGCGCTGGTTGAGGGGGTTGGCCTTTGCGACCTTGGGGATCTTCTTGTGCGGGCGGTAGTGCATGGGCGTGAGCTCGTAGTGGAGGAGCTTGGAGGCTTCCTTTGCTGCGATGGAGCCCGCGACGGCGAAGAAGGCCGAGGCGACGGCGAAGCCCTCCATGAAGCCGAAGCCGGTGCGCTTGGAGCGAGCGGCGCCGCTGCCGAAGGAGAGCCATGCGGGGAACTGGATATTGAGTCTCTGGATGGCGGCGATGGCGTCCTGGCCGGCGGGTGTGGAGGAGGCGTGACGGGCGGCGACTGCGCCGAGACCGATGAAGAGAGCGGCGGCGGCAGCTTGGGATGCGACGCGGGCTGCTGAGCCGGAGCCGGAGGTCTTCTTCTCGGGGGTGGCCTTGGGCTGGAGGCGGACGGCCTTGGGAGCAGAGCGCTTGTTCACGCCCTTGAGCTTGCCGACCTTGAAGTCGGCCATGATTTCGTAGGCATCTTCGGAATGGCCTGCATTGTCGAAGGCTTCTGAGGCATCGACGCTGGCGGCCTCGACGAGGACATCTGCGCCACCGGGGTGGTCGTGGAGGTACTTTGAGACATCGTAGACTGTAATTTGGTGGTCAGTTGGCAAATTTGGGGGTTGTAGTTTAGGGGGTATTAACTTACCTTCACCGTGGATGACCATCCAGCAGTCGTTCGCTTCTCTGTGCGCGGCAACCTCCTTGGCCGTGAACTCGGGGCCTACTGTTGACTCGGTAGCCGCCATTGTGAATGTGTAAATGTGAGTATCTCTGAGAGATGGTCGAAGATGGGAAAGGGGGCGGGGTGAGAAGTAGTAGTTTTACACTGTTGCAGAGTCGTGTTGCGCTAATGATATAAAAGAGAATTTTACTATCTTATCTAAGAAATGGGAAAGATCGATGTCGATCGTGATGTGTGGACAAGGTTACAATGAACAGGACCCCTTTTACTTCAGAAGGCCGGGCTTCGGAACGGGGGGGGAAGTGCAGCGTTCCTATTTATCGAAAGATGGCGAGACCATTGCGACATTTGCCAGCGGAATAGATGCCTAGGTATATCCACAATTTACAAGAGGAAATCCAGAATCGTCGTCACTCGTCAGAAGATACACCTGACTTTGCATTGGATGAGAATGAGACCGAAAAAAACAAAAAGGAAACAAGGGTAATGTCCGAAGCGCAAAGATGCCGAGGCACAGAGATAAAGTGTGGGCATCATCGGGGACCCTGCGCGCGTCGTTCTGCGCGATAAAGTCGATGGTGCCCAGGGTACGAAGTTATGGAGCTTTGTGTTCGGAAGCTCCAAAACGTTCCCAAAGCTTGGGACCATTAGAAGCTAGGATTGGGATCCATTTGGAATGAGCAGAAGAGATGAATCTGGAAAGATTCGGCCGGCGGTCGGCGGGTGGGGCGCGCGACTGACAAAGCGAAGGCACGGGATTGGATGCCGGGAACCGGACCCACTTACGGCGATGTGCCTCGGCGGTCCCGACATGATGAGCGGGTTGATGACTTGATTGACGTTTATGCCTTGATTTCAGAAAATGCACGAGTCGGTTCCCTTCTTTACCATTATCTCTGCAGCTACTCAGCGCCTCCATATGATGCATTCTTACGTGCTAGGAGGGCAGAATTCTTCAAGTGTTGGCTTGCGAGAACGAGGGAGGCAGAAAAAAAAAGTGCGATCGTCATCGCAAATCAGCCAAGCCTAAAAGTAAATAGAGATGAACTAGGACAAGAAAGTGTAAAGCCAACACCACCACAAACACGGATAGGGATACTACATTGCAGGCTACCAGAAGGCCAAGAGATGAGCCGCGGCTCTGTATTCCTAGTGTAGGTACTAGCACTAAGGTAGCATGCTGGGAGATTCGTTCCTGCACTGGAAAACCGTACCCTCAAGGTTGTTATCGAAGAAATCAGAGCATAGCAGGTGCGGTAGCTAACGGTTCGGTCTCAGGGGCCGAGTGCCAGAACTGACGAAAATAACAAAAGACCCACAACCGGACGGTATCCGGAAGAAGACGGCCGATGATTGGATGCATCATGCCATTTACGACCAAAGCTCGTGGGTGCTTGGTCCAATGGAAAGACGCTGTGATTACGTAGGTGGCACACAACGAGCCGAGGCCACGGACTTCGGGACTTGAGCGACGACAAAACGGCGACGGAACCACTTAAACCCTCTGTACGTACCTGGTATCAGCCACGATGGACCCCCACTCTGCCCCCCTTGCGCTGCAAAATTCTGCAGCTTTCCTCTTCTCCATTTCGTCTCCCCCTCTGTCAATGTGGCCTCCCTTTCGACTCCCGACCTTCGAGAAACACCATTTTCGAGCTTATCAAATCATCCAATGCACCAAATTTCAAAGCCAAGCACCCACCCCTGGTCCTTTCGCCTCGGCACCTGGACGCCTCTAGCGCAGATCACCCTTGTTTAGCCCTATCGCGGCGCATCAAACGTGCTCCAAATCTCCGATTTTTCTCTTGTGTCCATCCTCCTTCCGCGATGGTTCAGATTTCCGCTGTCATCATGCCAGAACCGCGGCTCTTCTCCGTCCGCACCCACATCTGTTTTTGACTCTGCACTTGCAGTCTGGAACCTACGAGTCTGTTGCTTGTTTTCGCCGTATTCCACTCTTCCACGCCGGCCACGGAGCCGACACTCGAATGGATTCGTCTCACCCTCACGGCCCGCTGTTTCTTCGGACTTGAGCGCCGCCCATGAAGTCATGGCCCTTGGGTCAAGGGGACCTTGAGATGGACCTCGGCAGGCCACTTTTTTCCCCCTTCGCTCGTCACTCATCGGCCAGCTGTTCGGTCTGTGTGTCTGTTGTGTGTTCCCACCAAAAGAATTGACATTGCCTGGGATCGGATTGGATAAGCTGCGCCATATTGTGATGTTCCATGGGTACGTACTGTTTTGATTGCGATCTCTTTTTTTCTCTTATATATCGTCAACGGCTTGCATCCCTCTCCATCTAGCATAGCAGTTTTTGGATTGGAAATCTTGTCTTATCTACTTTACTACTACTACTTCATACATCCTGAATACAATTATTTGGACACCTCCAGATTCGTGCGCTCCTCCGACTCCATCCACACATCACATCCTACACCATGTCATCACAACGCTTCCACCTGTTGGGTGAAGACCCTTCAGTCACAACAGAGTTCGAGATTCCTGCCTCAACAGACGAGGAGGGTCTCCAGCATCTCGCTGCCTCTCATTTTGCCGTCGTCGACCACAAGGGTAAGCTCAACATCCTGCCATACCACAGCTCCTTGACAGTAAACTAACACAAGTACAAGGCGTTGGCTTCGTCTCCGGAGATGAGGCTCTGACAACAGTCGCCGATGTCCTTGCTGCCGAGGGTCCCGTCGCCATCACCATTGACGGCCACCCCGTCCGCGAAGTCCCCGGCCCTTCTGGTCTGCCCTTCATCGGCAA